CGAGTCCGGATTAATGACTTTTGACTGTATAAATCTATTAAAAGTGGCAAGTTACCTAATATTAAGCATACGTTTGGAAATCGATCCTGAGACAATGCAAATTTAAACAAAGCAATCTAACCTGATAGTTCTTTGATCTTTATGCTAGGAGCACTCAAAAGAATTATAAACCAAGTTACATTTTTGAATTATATCTGAGTGAATCACAAAAAAATTTACTTAGGTCACTGGTTTTTCATGAAATTTTTTCTCCCGTTTTTTGCACTATTTTGGGATTTCTTTAGAAGCTTTTGTTTTAGCAGTTGACTTTCTCCTGTATTTCCTGTGTCAGTTTGTAAAGTTAACCTCTTTGGTATTTTGTATACTTTTTTAAAAATTTATGCAAATAAATTTGTTTTCATAAATAATGTTTATTTAATATAAAACAAATTCTGAAAAACAGATTAACTTTGATTTGAAATTAAGATGTATTAACGTTTTCTGTGTATATACTCATCTGACCTTTGTTTTTATGAATTGTAATTAATTGTAAAGTATAAAATAAATATTAAATACTTTCTTTCAAGTTACAACAGGGCAAGAGAATGCTTTTAAAAAATTTCTCTAATTTTTCATCAAAAAATTTAATTGTGTACTATTCAGATGTAATTCACTGCATCAGATGTCATCAGATTCAATACATCCAGATGTAATTCAGTCGTGTGGCTCTGTTGATAATTTTCTTGGCTTCTGCTTGACAAAGATTTAAAAAAAAATAATTTAATTATTTTGTTTTTGTTTTAATTGATGTTCTGTGTTTCAGGATTGTGTTCCAGGTCTATGGTTCATGTTAGATTTTTGTTTTCTTCGGACTAGATAGTGGGCCCTTTTTAGTTGATTTAAATATCGGTTTTATTTTATTCTCTATATGTAAACTTATGCAAGCTTCTGCATACACACAATTAAGAAAGGTATAAAATATATACAATTAAAAATTAATTATCAATCTAAAGTAATGGATTTTCTAGCAGGAAGGCACAAAATAAAACAATTGACTTTATAATTTGGTTAATTAATAATTTGGTTGAACAAAACTGAAGTAAATTTATTATGAAAATAAAACAAATTGCACATAATGTTAAGTAATAATTGGTAATTCTTTGGAAACCATTACATCTACAGCAAAAGAATAGGAACAGTATATTCAACAGATAAAATAGAGGAAAATTTTATTTTACTGTATCTTTAGAAAGGAAAATATCAAACTTTCCCTATAAACGGCATCCTACAGAGCAAACGGGTGAACGGAATGCAACAAAATTTTGTATATGGGCTGATTCGCTCGTGATTTTCGAAAAATAAATTTTAGTTTCAAAATGTCCACCAGAGGGCGCCTTTTTGAGAAAAATATGAAATTTAATACAATATACGACCAAAACGAAATACAGAAACAATAGTAACAATCCAGAACAAGAATTATGAAGAATAAAATGCAAAACCGGAAAAAGCTGTCAGTTGTAGGAGAAAAATCTCTAGATTTGCATACTTGGGAAGAAAAGAGGAAGCCAATGTTTCCAGCTGTACTAGTGACAGTCTCTTTAGTTGAACGTGCATTATTGGTGAGGCTGTTTTACGAAAACAAGAGCTTCTGCTGCAGTTCATTAATTTTATCGTAGAAATAACCTACGGCGTGGACCAATGTCTACTAAAGGTATCTGGGCCATGATTAAGAGATTTGAGGAGATGGGGAAAGTAGGAGTTCAACCTGGAAGAGGCTGTATACGTGTCACACTGGTATTTGTTGATGCCATCAAGACAGCTGTTGATGCACAGTCATGGACATCAGAGTTTGGTGGCAGTAGCGCACGGGCAATTTCTCGCCAGACAGGCTATTTTTACAGCACCATACAAAAAGCATTCAAAAACATAATGCACTACTTCCCATTCAAGAGCCGCCATACCCAGGAGTTGCTTGATATAGGGACAAGACAACGTCTCTCATTTGCAGCCAGTTTTCTCAACAGAATGACTGTTGATCTGTCATGGCTTTAGAATATTCTGTGGAGTGATGCAGCTCATTTCTACCTCAATGGGACAGTCAACACACAGAATTGCCGCATTTGGGCTATGGAACACCCACAGATCCACACTGAAATTCTCCTTAGGTCACTGTCTGGGCTGGATTCATGGCAGCATTCTTCTTTGAGGAAATTAGTAAATGTGCTCCTATCATATGTTCCATTATGGGCTATTGGTACCATGACATGCTGCAAATTGTTGCAAGCTGGGTCCTTACATCTAATGTTTTCATGCAGGATGGTGTGACCTCACATATCCATGGGTCTGTGAAGGTGCTATTGCTCCAACACTTCACAGAGGAATATGTTATTCGTTGTTCCATGGCAACTATGTTCACCAGATCTAACTACATGTGAGATATTGAATGACTTAAAGAACTCCATAATGTTTCATGTGCGAAGCCTCACAACTAATCAGTTACGATCTGCTGTTGAACACACTGTCCATTGACTTGAAATTTTGCAGGTGAATGAGGGTGGTCACATAGAGCACCTTTCCCTACATCTTCCTGGGCTTGATTAACAGCTGCTTCTCTTGTGTAATTTTGTCCTAATCTGTTCTTGTCTCTGCAAACTGAACTGTGTTTGTATGTTCCGTACTTTTACTTAATGTGGTTCTCAGAAACTAGTCAATAAATGTTAATATAGATTCTGTATTCTGTTTTGGTTGTTTATTGTGTTAAATTTCCTGTTTTTCCCAAAAAGGCACCCTCTGAATAATATTTTGGAGTTAAAATTTTTTTTTCAAAATTACATGAGCGCATCTCGTGTATAGCCCATATACAAAATTTCGTTGCATTCTGTTCATCCGTTTCCACTGTAGAAGGCCGTTTATGGAGGAAGTTTAATTATAACCACCTGATATATATATATATATATATATATATGTTGCGACCGATTGCAATCAAAAAGGGAGGTGCACAGCTACATGTTTTGCGACCGATTGCAATCAAAAAGGGAGGTGCACAGCTACATGTTATATAGCAAACCATATGTACATAATTTCAACATTCTGAAGCAACTCATTTTTGAGTTATGCGAGATACGTACGTACGTACAGATGCCATAAAAAATCTCTTCTGAATCCAATTTAAATCAGTTTTATAATTCGTGTGGGGAGAGAGCCTTTTATTCTGTCCTTATGTACAGATGTCACACAAGAACATTGTTTACATTCGATAGTGGTCAAAATGGATATTTTTGTTGAAATATGGTACACGGAAGTTTTCGTGATTACAATACTTCCTTTATTTTGTACAAGGAAGTAAAAATAGTAATCAATGATGAAAACATTATAATAGTTATATTAAATGGTGATGATTATATCAAAATAGTAATCATCATCATTTAATATAACTATTTGCCAAAATACGAGGGCTATCCAGAAAGTAGATTACGTTTTGGAATAAAAAAATAAACAAAGTATAGGAAACAAATTTTATTATATACAGATGAAAGCCACACTCAAATACTACTTTTCTACATAGTCACCATACAAATTAAGGCATTTATCGTAGCGATGTACGAGCTTGGAAATTCCTTCGTCGAAAAATTCGGCCGCCTGCGCCTTCAACCACTTCGTTACCTCTTCTTGCCTTCCATCTTGCACAAAACTTGTGGTAACCAAGCTTTTTTTCGCTGATGATTTCGTGCAACAAACTTCGCGAAATTTTGTGAAAACTCAAAGAAAGTTCCGTTATTGTGAAATTTCGATTTCACAGACTTTAGCATCGACTTTTTCGAGAAGTTCGGCGGTCACTATGCTGGGTCTCCCACTTCGATCTTCGTCGTGAACATTGGTTCGGCCATTTTGAAATCTTATGACCCACTGACGCACTCCACCTTCAGTCCCCATACACTTCACGAAGCTGCCGATAGATTTCTATCGGTTTACAGTTTTTTGCAGTCAGAAACCTTATTACTGAGCGCAGCTCGCGGGATTTTCAATTAACGCAGACATTTCAAACCATCACAGTATCTGAACGGAGCACAGCACGAACCTCTCACTAGCACGGCTAGATGCAGACTGAGCTGCGCAACGCTCTGACCCCAAGATGGCCGCGCTAGCCCCGCCCCTAGCGGACACAGACGGAAACGTAATCTACTTCCTGGATGGCCCTCGTATCATTGATTATTGTTATTCAATTAAGTAATTAACTTTATTTTTATGTTATTCGTACCATTTAATGTGGCTTCTTCCCTTTAAATTTATTTATTAATTATTAATACTTTCATATTTCAGGCAATTTTCTGTAGCATAATCCTGAAACTAATTCTAGCAGTATGATGACATACTATCACAAAATTTAATGCACATATTTTTGCTCATGTATGCTGCTTAATAAATTTATTTTAAACTATCATTAAATAGATTTCTTTCTTTCATTTAGCTGCAAAATATGTGCCCCCCCCAAAAAAGAGACATTTTTTTAATCCAGACTGGTCGGATTCTAATCTCAGTCTTCACTGGAGAAAACAACTCCTGTTATAGTTATAATAGTAATGCTTTGGGTATTATAGATATATATGTGTGTGTAAGTCATATGTAATTGGCAAATTGTGTTTTCAAGTGGTACCATAAGTAATTTACCTCTCAGCCCAGCCAACGGCACTACACAGATAGACTGGAATTTTCTTAAAACACACCTGGAAAAGTGAGCAATTTCATTCTCCTGTTTGAGTGGCAACCCTGACAGTTGTAAAAATTAGTATATTTCTATGTAGCAGAAGGAAACTCGCTGGATTATGCAATAACATTTAACCCTGAATTACCAAACATAAAGCACTTTTTTTATAGTTTATCCTTTTTCTCATCAATGTATTTATGTATCTTTAAAAAAATTGTGTTTTTAATCTGTAATTTCAAAGATTCCAATATTAGTTTTTCAGTGCAAATTAAATTAGTTTTCATTTAAGGAATCAATTGTCTTTTTCCTCCCCTAGGGATGAAAGCACTGAACATCTTTATTTGCCTGATTTAGAAAACTGTGATCCGTATAAGGTATGTTATGAAATACATAAACAAAATTTTTATGTACATATAAAGACAGGCAATTTAAAAAGATATGTGAAAAGAATATATTTTATAGTTGAGATTTAAAAAAAAAAAAAAAAGAGAGAGAGAAAAGAAGAAGAAGAAACATAATGTTGTGAAAAAGAAAATTCTTTCATTTTTCTATTTTTTATATGATTTTTATTTCTTTTTTAAGTACAATGTGGTGTCTTCGTTCTGAAGTGTTGAGTCATTTAATTCACAGTAGTTGTCTTTTGATTATTTATTGTTAACAGTAACAAACATGATTGAAACAAATTATGAAATATCATACGTGGTACAGTGCCGGATCTATACATCTTCCCACATCATCGTTCCTGTGTATTCTAACTGTATTTTTACCCGCCGCGGGAAAAATGAACGTCGGTTTATCTCTTTAGGGAATTTTAGTTGGAACATCCTCTGGCCAGCGATGAAGGCATTTATCATAAATTCAAAATCTTACAATAAAATAGTACATCTTATACTTTTACAAAACTTCTAGCATACAACATAGCATGAATACTTTGTATATAAAGGCCATTTTCATCATACTAGCTACTACTATACATTTTATCTTACTAACTACCACAAGCTAAATGCAAATAGAAAGGAAAACATTTATCATCAAATAATAACTAACACAAGTAACAAATTTCAGTTACTAAAGAAATACTAAATAGATACTTGAAAATTCTGAAAACAGTCATTCATATCTCTTGCCAAGTTCCAAATGATATAACATTTGAATAGGTCCTTTTACTACACCTGAAGAAGTTTTCACTGTAATACTTCTTACCTTGTTATCACGGCCTCTATGCAACTCCATCACCTTTCCCAGCTTCAACAGCTGCCGAGGTAGTTTTTCATCCCTATCAAAACTACATCATTTATATTCAAATCAGTGGTTACATTAACAGGTTGAAACAATTTGCACCTTTTAATTGGAGAAGATACTCTCTTTTCCATCGTCTGCAAAAAATAATTTAAAATTTTCTCCCGATACAAATATCTTTTAATTAAAATTCTTTTGTTACTTGCAATATGTTCTTTATTATGACCAGCCTGGTGTGGTAAGGATGTTAACTGTTTTCCAGTTAGGAAATAAGCAGGAGTGAGAGGGAATGTCTCTGATGGATCATTATAAATGTAAGTAAGTGGTCTAGAATCTAGAATAGATTCTATTTTTGTCAAAATGGTTTGTAATTCTTCAAAGGAAGCTGAAGCCTTTCCTAGTACTTTTCTCAAAATATCTTTAGTCATCTTCACCATTCTCTCCCAGTATCCACCCCACCAAGCTGCTCTTTCGACAGTAAAATGCCATCTTATTCCTTTTATACCAAAATAATTTTGTACAGATGGATCAATATTTGCATATAACTTCTTCATTTCTACATCTGCACCTTTTAAAGATTTGTCAGAGTTTATAGTTCGGCAAACACTTCTTGACACAAAGCGACAAAATGCTTGAAGGAAATGCTCGGTGCTTAGGCTAGAAACAATTTCAAGATGAACTGCACGTGTGACTGCACAAATAAACAAACAAAATGTAAACCTAGTCTCCATTTTTCGTAAACAAAGGTCCAGCAGAATCAACACCTGTGATTTCAAAGGGATTCGCTTCATGAATTCTATCCGCTGGTAATGGAGCAATCACTTGAGTGTTCTTTTTAGCCTTAAATTTCCTGCAAATGAAACAGTTATTCAAGCACGATTTTACAGCTTGTCTGCCTTGGATGATCCAATAATTTTCTTGAGTTTGAGTGAGTGTATCTGAAACACCAGCATGAAGCAAGTTCTCATGTTCTCTTTTGATTAGCAATTCAGTGAATCTAGATTTTTTTTGGTATAATCCATGGATGCTTTTCTTGAAACTGAAAGTCAGAATGTTGGAATCTACCACCAAGACATACGAGTCCTTCTGCCGTCAGGATTGGGTTTAGACCATATAATTTGAAATCGGCATTAAGTGATTCCTTTCGTATCAATTTAATAAGATGCTTTTCAAACTCAATACGCTGTATAAAACTTGTGAGTTCTTCGGCAGTTAGTGCTCCTTTACGCCCTTCGGAATTCCTCTTAGAGTTATTAATAAAGGACATATGCAGTGATTCGAAAAACCTTAGATAAGTCACTGTATCTGTGTAAATTCAACAAGCTATCGGTACGTTCAACGTATCTTGGTAAAGCAATACAGTTCCTTTTTCTCTCCTTTTCCGCTTCAAATGTATCAATATTAGCATTCGGTATTTCTTCACTGTTTAGAAAATCAACTTCTATTAGCCACAAGGGGCCTCTCCACCAGGTTTCATCATTAATTAAAGATCGCGCATTTACTCCCCTAGTAAGTTTATCTGCAGGATTCAGCTTTCTGTTGCAAAAATTCCAATTTGATGGAATTGTCTTTTCTTTGATTTCCAACACTCTGTTGTGGACGAATTGTTTCCAATCGTTCGCAACATCTCTAATCCAATGCAGGCATATTGTGGAATCTGTCCACATGAAAATGTCACTTTCTTTCAATGAAGAAAACATAGATCGTATATAATCAGACATTCGTGCGGAAATCAAGTTTCCTAGCAGCTCTAATCACAGCAAAGTCATTTTCCTCAGTGAAGCTAGACGACATTTTGAAATTATAAAACTTCTCGCACATTTGTCATGGTAATCTTGAAATATGCGACCGCATCATATGCTTTTGGGCTTGCATCAGAAAATGTATGTACTTCCAGCTGTTGAATCTCAAGCTCGTCAAAATGTGGTCGAGGTATGACAAGCCTGTCAAGCTTGGTTATTTCATTCCACCACTCATGGAATATAGATTCCAATTCTGCTGGAATATTTTCATCTCATTTTAAGCCTTTTTCCCAAAGAGTCTGCACTATCAATGTAATTCTAACACTGAATGGTGTAATTAAACCTAATGGATCAAACAACATGCCACATACACTTAGAACTATATGTTTTGTTGGTGTCACATATTTAAATTTTGTAAATTGATTCAGATCTATCTTCAAGGTGTCCTTATCATTATATCAAATTAATCCTAATACCTTTTACGGTATATCTGTTTGATTTGATGGTGTCTGACATTCCATTTGGGTTTCCTTCCATCTCTGGTTAAGGATAGCTGAATTCGAAGACCATTGCCGTAAATTCATGTTTGCTTCACTCAGTATAAATTTAGAGTCTCTTGCAAAAGATACTGCTTCTTCAACAGTTGATACCCCACGTATTAAGTCATCAACATAAAGTTCTTTTAAAATAGAACATGCTTCATTGTGTGAATTTTCATATTTCTTTAAATGAAGTCATATAGTTGCTGTCAAAATAAAAGGACTGCATTTCACACCAAAAGGAACATGTATCATTCGTAAAATTCTGATATCATGACCATTGAAATCAAGTTCGTTCCCCCCCCCTCATTTCTCCATAAAAACTGCAAAAACTTTCTATCCTCTTCTACTATGCCAATCTCTAAAAATGCTCTCTGAATATCAGCACAAAACGCAACTGGGTGACACCAAAATCTTAAAATTATCCTGAACAAATCTGGATTAAGGTTGGGACCACTATCTAAACAATCATTCAACGACTGTCCATCTCTAACTTTCGACGACGCATCATACACAATCCTAACTTTCGTACTTTCCTTTGATTCACATACTACAGCATAATGAGGCAAAAAATAATCAATTTTCCTATCACAATCTCAGTGAAACGCAACTTGCTCGAAAATACCATCCCTTAACTGCTCATTAATTATTTCTTTATAACAAAAATACAGATGCGGATCATGCCTAAATTTATTATTTAAGCTTATCAAAACATCTTTCTGCAACTTCATAATTACTATTCAATGTGTTACAACCCTCTTTCCATAATAATTTAGTTTCATATCTCCCATTTTTAAACATGGTATTTCTTTCAAACATATCTATGACATCTGCATCTGATCGCAAAATTTCCTTCTCCTGATTTATTCCTATAGCCTCCAAATCCCATAAATTCCGAACTCTTTCAAAATCTGTTTGTTCCTTCAAGAGATAGGGTTTACAAAAGTCTTATCATACTCATAACTGCTATGATTATCGAATCCCATTTCCTTACCTTGGATTACAAACCCAAATAAACTGTCCGTAGTAACTAATCTTTTCCCTAATCTTATGTTTTTTTCATATAAGATTTCCCAAATGTAATCTGAGCTGATCAATGTGTGTATCTCCTTCGTATTTCCAATGTCGGCCAATTTTATTCCCTTACTTAGAGCAATGTTTCTAACCCACTTTGAAGGAACTTCTGTGTGGTCATCCGTAATTGCATCAATTACCACTGCTTCTATGCTGAGTTTTTTACTTGGGTTGATTCTGTTCTGCAAATCAAACTGAACTATATTATACTGCTGTTTCGGTTTACGCTCGCTACCAAACCCATATGTTTCAAACGTTTCACATCTTGTAGCCTTCGATCCTAATGAGTCCGCAGTTTTACTTCTGATAAATGTTCTATTACTCCTGCCGTCTATTAACACCCTTAAGATTTCGCTCTTTTTGTTTTTACTATAGCACTGAATGTTTGTAATAAAACTGGGGACGACGCTCCTGCGCTCTCGGTTTTGTTTGCAGATTCCCTTTTACTTCCTCCGAAGCAATGCAATGACTGTACTGTAGATAAATTATTGTCCGTTTCTTTACCATTTGATTCTGCTAAATTATTTGTCGGTTCAGCCTTATCGCATATTAAATAATTGTGAGGTTTTTACATATTTTGCAGAGCTGGTCCTTTTTCCAGCAAAATTTCCATGTATGTCTACATTTCAGGCAAATGTAACATCGATGCTGTGTTTTTAAAGAATTTCTTTTTTCTGTTAATGGTGAAGGACATTTATGAGTTTTGTGAGATTTATCCGAACAAAAACTACATATTTCATTCGCTACGGCTGTTAAAGCAGCTGCTGTTGGAATGTGCGCTTTTGAAATGTTTCATTTTGAGTCTACATAATTTTTCTAATAATTTTGACTCGTTCCTCTATTACCGAAAGGAATTTCATTTCGCTTAAAGTTTTTTGAATCTGATAATAAAGAAGACGCTGCTCTTATTTCTACCTCTTTTCTCAAAAACTTAACTAAGTGCTCTATATCAAATGATTCACGCAATTCACGTTGTCTATTGTAATACAAATTTAGCTCTTCTGTAATTTTCTGTAGTATTACCAAACGCAAAGTAAACTACTATAAGTTCCTGCTGCAACACCTAAAGACTTTAATGATCGAATTTGAATCTCAATCATATCATACATTCTTCGCAATGCTGGAACGTTCGTGCATGTCTTAACAGAATCAATCAGCAACAGTTTATTCATATGCGAGCTTATAATCAAATCTAGCCTTCCGAATCTTTCTTTTAACAACTTAATTGAGGAATCGTAGTTTTCGTTTGTTAAAGAAAATCCTGAAACTGCTGACAAGGCAGTATATCTCAAAAATGTTTTCAGATACGAAAACTTCTCAACCTTACTTAAGGAATTGTTGTTATGAATAGCTACTTCGTAGGAATTCCAGAAATTCAACCAAGAGCTTTAATCACTATAAAACTTCGCAATACTTAATTTTGGAAGCTTAACTACACTACTTTCTTTTCTTACTATGCGTTGTTCCAACCTAACATTTTCATTAACTCAAGTTTCATTTTGCAAAGGCCCGTTAAAACCACTTTCTATATGCCTATCTAGTTTCGTTTTTCATTGAATACCGCGTTCCTGATATTCTTCACTCATAAATTTTTCTAAAATTTTAAAAACAATATACAAGTATTACAATTTAAATATGTTAACGAGATGAATGAAATCGCGATTTAATTTTTAAAAGTTCCTTATATTGAGCTTCGAAGTGAGATGTACTAATTCTAAGGAACGAGACTAAATGCTCATTAGTCTGTCTACTTCTGAAATAATGCTTTTCCAAGGTTTATACTTGAAACACTTGTTCACATATATAAGATGAAGCAAACATAGCAATGATTTTCTGGGCGTGAGTAATTAAATTTGGGAAACTTACGTTCGATAATGATTTGTAAAACTCTAACTTTGGCATATTTAGAAACAACTGCTTGAGATGATTGTTAGATTGCAACTCAATTAATTCAAGCTGCAAATCTGAACACACTGCTTCACAATTTATGTTGAAAGGTATGGTAAAAATATCCACTTCTGTTTGAATGGCACTGAAATCTTGCGATTTGGATACTGTTAATCTTCTTATAAATATTTTGTCAGCCAAATAATTTTTTACAAAGACTTTCTGCATTTTGTTTGCTTTCATATTCTTCGTAACTGGAATTCTTATGCTTAGGTGTGAAATGACGGGAAATGTTATATTCCTTTGAAGACTGCTTCAGCTTCGTTGCACATCAGACACACTTGGTTTATCTTTTACAACTGTAAAAAATATTTTCAGGTCCATTCATAATTAAAAGCACGGCACTCTGAATCAACTTTACGTGTTATATAGTTAGCCATTTTGGGGTTGAAACATTTTACGAATAACCTAAACAAGCACTAGCTACGCTATACTTTTAATACTTTCACCAGTATTCACAATGTGATGCTATATGTCCGCAATCTTTCCATACGCAATGAACAATATTAGAACCTCACACCAAAAGAAAAGGACCGCTTGGCTGGAAGCTTAAAAAAAAAATGCGCAGTTTGCCACATGTGAAATCTAATTCACCTACACTAGATTCCCATATGTCTGCTCCCCGAGAAAGCGATAACGCTTGTTGGTGCCAATCTACAGCTATAACTAACAAATAACTTCCCGCTTTTAACACTTTACCGGTTGAAAGCTGTCTGTGCTTGCTATTTCTGTCAATTTATGTTTTGTAGAACAAAAATATAGAAAATAAAAAGATCATCAGTCTTTTGGGAAAGAAGAAAAAAATAATATTTAAACGAAGTAGAAAAGGAGATAAATATATAATGAATAAATATGTATTTCTTTTAATTTGCCTCGGACCAGCAAATTAAAATTCTATCGGAGGGCCAGATAGAATCTTCAGGCGCGCCGTAGTTTGCCCATCCCTGATCTAAACCCTTAAGATTCTTTATCTTTTCAGTCAACTGGTTTCTTTGATCATAAAGACCATCAAGTTTTTGTTCTTTATTGTAAATTTCACTTAAAGGTTTATTTATTGCGTCTTCGATTTTTGACAAAAGGTTACAAAAAAGCTGCCTAATGCAGTTTCGTTTCTGCTTTAACCTTTCAACTTGTTTCACCATGTTTGCATAAACTACTTCTGCTTTCAAAACTAAATTTCAAATTAATTTACAACAACTAAATAATCATATCACCACTATAAATTCAAAACTTCCTATCATATATAAAATCATAACACTTCAAGGACTGAATCTAAAATCTACCTCAATTCCATGGTCGCGATATGCATTATGTCCAGAAGTCTTTGTAGGTGAGCTGTACACATTAATGCTTATGACCAGCATGTACCTGTTTGCGGAAATAAGCCAGCAAAAGCACAGAATATTATTTTCATCATGGAATACCTTAGGGCTTCTGCACTCAATGTGACTATTTTGGGAGACGTTTCCTATATTAACAAGTGCTTTTGAAATCTTGCTTAGCACCTACACAATAGCATCATGCTTTGGCAGCATTTTTCAATCATTTGCTTAAGTATTTTTCAACATTACAGTGCCTAGCTATCGTAGGACTGGCTACTTAACACTGCATATTTGCATGCCTTCATTCCATTGTGACTGAAAGCCAATTAGGCCATATCTAACACTATTTATTGGGAACTTTTAACTGTCCATGACTATCCATCTATGCCATACTCGATAGTCATTTGAATCCAGGCTAAAGATAGTTTCTGGATAGATGAATTTATGGGTTGGTGAGATTTAAATAAATGGAGGAGATGAAATGAGAGTGAAAAATCTGAAGGGTAGGAAACTTAATGCGTTTTTTAATAATGTGATACTGTGCTAGGTTATTTCTTACATCATAAAATTAAAGTTTTTAACTCATTTAGGGTTAGAACTGGAATTTCTTTTAGTAGATTGAAATTTTATGTTTTAAAAACCACTTTTCTCCAAGCAAAACGGTTAAATAAAATTATTATATTTATATATATGAGCAAAGTCATCAGAAATGCTTGCTGTTTCATAAAACTCTTGGGTGGAATTAATATTAGTGAACCAGAAACAGAATTTTAAAGCTACAATTTAGTGAATTAAATTTTTCCAGCATGAGTAAAAAGGAAAGGTTCTTTTTATGATTATTTTGAACAGTATTATTATTGAATCTTGCTAACATTGACTTACATGTATAATACAGTCAACTTTCACTTAACATGATCCTTAATTGTAGGTTTTTATTAAATATTAGATGAATTTTACTGAAAGATGGTCTAAGCAATGTCAATTTTTCTTTTAAATGAACGTTAGCACTTTTGCCACATTACGCAACTGATTTTATTGATTTAACTCGGCATGTGCAGGAATTTTTAACTCAAAACATGAAGAATTTAACAGAAGTAATCAATCTATCATCATTCATCAGTGAGTGTTGTCATACTGAGGGAGAGAATGTACTCAATAATTAATATAGGAATTTCAGAATATGTTTTTCACTTACAAACAAGGTAAAGCAACAAGTATTGAGTTGATCCAAAACTTGAGGGAAATATGCAGTTTTTCTGAGTGATTATTACCTGTCCAAACTAATTTGTGTCAACTAAATAAATGCATTTTGTTTCTACAGTTAAAAGTATTTTCAGAATTTAGTATTTAATTTCACTTCCTTTTGATTTTAATAATTAAAGAGAAAAAGAACTGTAAAATAAGATTTTATTAAATACAAGCAGTGTAAGGTACAGATAATACAAAGTTGCATTATTTTATATGTAGTCTTATATTAAATACATAGATTCTTTATATGCATTCTTATATCAGATGAACACTATTTTGTTTAATACTACATTTACAGGGATGCCTTAACTGTGGTGAAAAATACAAGAGATAGCTGTCGAAGTTATATTCTGCTATTATTATTTTCAGAATTTTCTTTTGTGATTTTTTTATGTATGGTTAATTTTTTCTCCTTTTTCGATCTCTGTTTACTATACTTACACTCTTACATATATAAATGTATATAAATGAAACTTTAAATTATAGCAACTAAAAATAAGCAGACGGTTCGATTTGAGCGAAATTTTTAAATATGTATTTGGAATTTTTTAACTGTCTTAAAATTCATAATAAATAAGAGGTAAAAAGGTATTTGTTGTCTGTAATTACTTTGTATCACATCTGTTGTGTAGATTGGTACTTGTAAATAAAGCCTTAGTTAAAAATTTATTGTGTTTATGTAATTCTGTAATGTGGTGTTTTGATTATTAATAGGAGTATACTTTCACGAGTAAAAACCCATTTATGGAGGTGACTGATGCTTTTGCGGAAGGTCTTGAGAAATTAGGAAGCGGGGATTTACCAAGTGCTGTTTTGCTGTTTGAAGCTGCAGTGCAAAAAGATCCGGAGCACATACAAGTAAGTTTTTAAATATTAAAAAGGGGGTCCTCTTAAAACTGTTTCAAAAGCTAACATTTTAAATAACTCCTAACTAAAAAACTTTCCTTTTTTGATATTGCCTAAGTGCACTAATTAGTTTTCAGTCTAATATACAAACACTTATGATTTCCCTTTTTTTTGGGGGGGGGGCAAGGCTCCATCATTTACTCTTAAGCATAAATAGAAAATGCAAAATGCAGATCGATTGAGAACCAACCACATGACTATTTTAAACTAAGATTCCAGCTGTGTGAGTATGTGAAAATTAGTAAATAAAAACGTAATATTTTTTCCTATTCTGTTTTAAAAAGCTATTTATTATATTCTAGGCTTAAAAAAAGGAAAAGAAAAGGGTGGAAAAAAACAAAGAAAATATGATTTAAACCACACTGTTATGATTTTGTGTTTAATTTTAAATTATTAGAAAATACCTGGTTATCATTCTCTTCATAATTTCTTCAGGACATTGCAGCTTAATAATCTGAAACATTAGCAGACATAATATGTATTGGAATGGATTTATGCTGAATTACTAGATATATTTAATGTATCTGTATGCACAGTTCTTTTTACTGGATTGAAAAATCCATAAAATTTAAGAACATATCATATATTATTCTTATGCAACTAATAATGTATGATATTTTTATGTGAAATATACATATAAATATACATATGTGTTTATACATAAGATTCTCTAGCCTTCGTTCAGAAAATTGGAATTGATTCACAGAAATGCTTCCAGCTATAAATCAGATATTGTCTGCTGATTTCAGTGAGCTATATAATTTCAATTAGTTTTTTAATTAATTATCCTGCTGTAAAATTTTAAATTATAAGTGATTTTAGTTGCTTCAGATTTATTAATATTTTCTTTTCAATGAGGATTAACAGAAAAAAAGACCATATTATTTGTTCTAGAGTTTCAAGTAACATGTATGTTGTTTTGACTGATTATTTTAGTGATTTCAAAGTATTGTTTAATCTGAAATTTTAGTGTAAGCATTTAAAAAGTTTTGATTTAAAATAAATAAAATGATTTTTACATGCGAGTAGGTGTAGTGGATGGTGAATTAAATGTTAGGAGAAGGACATCCAGCTTGGCAGTTAAATACAATTTATCATGCTTTAAATTCAAATTGTTATTCTTAAAAACAGTAATGTGGCCATGTTTGCTTCCTCATATGCATGTTTTTAAAGTGCCTAATATATTAAATGTATGTTATAAAATATGTAATTTTCTTATTTTTTCATCATTGTAATAATGATCAACTTAGTATTAAGTTTTTATATAATTAATTTCTTGAATACTATATTATTTTGTCAGCATTAATTCCAAGAATTTTGTGTTGTGCATAATTGTAGTTATAATTTAATATTAATTCTTTGAAATCTTTGAAATATTTATTTCTAGGCCTGGCAGTATTTAGGTTCAAGCCAAGCAAAGAATGAGCAGGATCATGCTGCTATAGTAGCTCTTAAAAGGTAAATTTTTTTCACTAATCTTCAGTTTCTGATATTTGAATGTATAAGAAGCATTCAGAATCACATTCATATTTTGTGTGCATCATTTTTTATCGTGGACTTACTGTAATATTATTGTTTTAATAATGTATTGGTGGTAAAAAAAAAAAAAAAAAAAAAAAAAGGTTTATTTTTTATTTTTTTTTATATGCCAGGCACTAGCCATATTTAGGCTTTGCCCACTGCTAAGGCCAAAAATGGTGGTTATTTTACTATGAAGGCACCTAATAGGCAGCTACTGTTACCTTCTTGAAAGGACTGACAATTTACATCCATCCCCTCTTTGAAATTTAAAAGTGAGCTCTTCTGGATGGCAGTCAGAGTCGCTAACCCATCTGGGCGAATGGTACAAAACTTTTGTGTTTTAATCGAGCGATAGGTACACTGAGTCAAAAAAAGGGGGGGCAGTTGTATGCCTCCTGCTGTGTTTGGCTGAGTGATGAAATTCAATTTGCATTTTTCATGTTTTGAAAGTGTGCCTTAGGATATATACTAGATTTATATATGCTGGTTGTTCCTTGATGCAAAATCGGATTTTTCCTGACATGGCATGCTGATTGTTTTCCATATTTTGATTCTATAACTCAAATTATACTTGATACCAAATTTTGTAAAATATATAGTTTGGTGCACTTTTTCACTTTCTGCCAAGGGTAATTCACTCGACAGATTTAATGGTTTATGTTAATTATTTCACTTTCCACTTCATTCTGAACATATGGAAAAAACCTGATGTTTTCTTCTATCGCGCAGATATTTTTGCTTTGTATTATATTTTTTATTCACAGTTGCTATTTTCATATATATTTTTTATTTATAGAACTCGATTTTAATTACTTCACTTTTGTAGAATTATATTTCTTCAAGTAATCATTTAAAAAATTTTTGCTTATCCATTCAGATTGTATACTTTAAGTATTTTTAATTCATGAACTTTTTTTTTTTTTTTTTTGGATTTTTATTTATTTGAATTCATTCCTTTCAAAAAAATAGTTTGTGATCCAGGATTTGTCACAATGAATTTGAAAACTGCATAATGCACTGTAAGAAGAAATACAGCAAAGCACAGTTAATATGTTTTTCAGTGGATCGTTAAGAAATGAGATATGAAGTGAAGAAAGTACATGAGAAAGATGCATAGTTAATTTAATTTAGGATAATATGCATGCACTTAATTCCCCATTGCTTTTGAAGAGTTTTGTTATTGAGATATAGCTTTATGTGTTTTTAACATTCTACTTTTTGTTTCTTAGAATATTATCCAAATAAGTTCAGATTTTTAGTTTTAAAATCAGAAGGGAGGAGCATTCATTGGTGGGGGATGCAAAAAATTATGTTTTTTCCTAATGCCTTAATGAATTTTTGAAGCACTTGGCAAATATGTCTGCACTATCTACCTTTTAATATTTATTGTATTCCATAAAGAAATTGAAGCAACTTGGTTTGGGGGCAAATAGTTGAGTTAATAAACCTGTACCAAATGACAGAGTACAACAACAAACTCTTATAACCGCTCCTGCTACTGAAAGCAACTGCGGTGTTTTGAAACGATTGCTGCCAGTAAGTCTGTTTGAATCCACACTTCTAAACACTCCATTATCTCACTCCGAATTAGGCATGAGGAGACAGGTGCTAACTACCAAAGTGGGCAAAAGCCAATAGGCTAAAACAAGGCAGAACACATCAGCTGAGCAAAAGGGCCTCCCCCCCCAAAAAAGAAAGAAAAAAAAAGAAAAGCCAAGCGGCTAAAAGAGGAGGGGGTGCCTTTCGGCTAAAAAGGGAAAGAAGCAAAAAGCTAAAAATTGGTCTAAGCATGGAGGTAGGAAAGGGAGGTACTTCCTACCTCCATGGGTCTAAGAAGGGGAGAGCCATCACGGCTAAAAACGAAGGGAAACAGGCGAAATGAAGCAAAGCCTGATCGACTAAAAGGGCTGAGAGGGAAGGCTAAACAGGCGAAAAGGAAAGAGAAAGCTTCGTGTAAACTTAAAACAAAAAAGGGGGGAAGTCATGACTGCTAAAACAGGAAGTGAAGAGGAAGGCCAATGTGAAGTTACAATGCTAGCGTAATTTAGAAAAAAAAGAACACCTTTTACCTAAATGAACAATTAATTAAAGCAGAGTAAAATTAAAATAAACATATACACAAACAAAGTAATAACCATAAGAAATAAAAATAATAATAATAATCATAACAAATAAATAATAACCAAATGATTAATAATAATAACAAAAGTAAGTAACAATAATAAATAACAATAATAACAAAATAATAGAAAAATTCAAATAAACTTATAAACAGATATACAATTTGCTGCAGGTGTAAGTAAACACCACAGTGACTAAATAATTGAGCATTAAAATTGAAGTGAATAGAAGGAAAAATAACAATCAGAATGACGTAAACATTGTAGGATTAACGATAAACAATAAGTCGTTTACATGTATAAGTTGCATAATTGACTTCATGGCATTAAGAGTAGAATTGCCTTTTGCCGATGTTCCCGGTGAAGGCAGTGGTGATGGAAAAAGAGATGTTCTTTCTTTCACTGTTATTGGACAAAACGTGATGAAATAGAGAGCTCTTGCAAGCTCTCCACTTGTCTCACAGCCGCATCTTGTGTTCTTTTTATGAAAACTTTGAATATATTGCGGAAATTTGCCATAATTTGTCAAGATTTGATTTAAAATGTGATCTGATTGTATGCAAGAGAGAGAAATTGTGGGAAAAAGGTATAAGTCGAATGTCCTGTAGAGTCCTCATCCCATCTTTGCTGCCATGTTTTAAACAATTCTTGCAGGATTTGGTGTTTTGCTGAAATCTCTGAAAGTGGCACATCATCTAAAATGATCTTGTTGTATTGCCCCTTTTGCTTCGGAATCTGCTCTTTCGTTCCCTGCGATTCCAATGTGAGCTTTAATCCAATTAAACCGTAGAGAATGGGAATCTAAAAGAGTTTTTATGATTTCTTTTAGGCTAAGAATGCTTCTTTTTATAATTTTATCACTATTTAAACTTAGGGAAGGGAACTACGACTATCTGTAAAAATATGAATAGGAATGTTGTCAGTTACTGTGGAAATGAGTGCTTTTTTTTAAAGCAATCTCTGCTTGGAACACGGAAGCCGTATCATTTAATCTATAAATTTCTGAATGAACTTCGTGCCCATTGTTGTACGTAACGAAAGCCACACCTACATGTTTACCAATCTTAGATCCATCTGTAAAGTTTTTGATATTTTCCTGTGTTGGAGTATTTTTATGCTAGGGAATTATGTCTTGATGAGCAGGGTGTGTGTGGAACTGCGGGACTTTTTCTTCTAAGGTATTGTACCATATAACAAGATTGCTTATTTCCAAGTTTTCTTTATAATGAATTAGTCTAAAGAATTTTCTCTCCATCTCAGCTTTTATGTCTAAAGGCATAAGGCCCGAGAGAACTTGCAGGGCTGATGTGGGAGATGTTGAATAACATTTGGTAATACATAAAAGAACTCGCCTTTGTATTTGTGAAAGTTTTTGCTTCTGACATACAGTTCCCATGAACCACATGGGACACCCATAAAGTATTAATTGCTCGATAGCTCTGAGATAAAGTATTTTAAGTAATTTTTCTTTCTTGCTCCAGTTTTGAGAAATGATCCGATTTAGTTTATTAATTAAATTTTGTGTTTTCTTCTTTAAGTGTACTAAGTGTGGAATCTATGTGAGTTTCTGATCAAGAATAAAACCCAAGTATTTTAACTTCTTGAGATGGTAATGTTTTCCCATTTAATAGGTGGAGGCGATCTATGTAATTTAGTGCCTTTAGGAAACAAAATTAATTTGGTTTTATCAATACTAAAATTAAGTTGATATTTGTTGCTCCAGTGCTTAAGTTTTTCTAAAGTTCTATGAGCCATTTCTTCAATTCGCAGTCTGTTGCTACCAGAAATGATGACTAAGAAATCATCAGCATATGCTTGAATTTTTTACGTCTGTGTCAAATTCTAAATTTAAAGTTGTATCAGCCAAGATATTCCATAAAGTGGGCCCTAGGTTTGAACCTTGAGGTGCCCTTTTCTGATAAGAATGTGAGATATTGACTCCCATCTCTTTTATATTGTATTTTCCAGTTGCTCAAATAACTTCGAATTATGCGAAAAAGATTTCTTGGACATGACTTTATTTAAGCTTGATAGCAATCCAGGCCACCAAAGGTTATTGAATGCAAATGCAACATCTAAGGAAATAACACAAGTATGAAGATTGTTCATTGTATTGTTATGAATTTCATTAACTAGGTTATTTACTGCATCAATTGTGCTATGACCCGCTGTGAAACCATATTGTTGGCTATTGAGTATTTTTTTGCAATAAAAAAATGAGTTAGTTGTCATGCAATAATCTTATCTAATATCTTTCCCTAAGCTGATAAAAGGCAAATAGGTCTGTAGGCATTGAGATTTGTAGCATCTTTCCCTTCTTTCTGAAAAAGGACTAAATTACCAGTCTTCCATTCTTCTGGAAAGTAACCAATTTCTAAACATCTGTTCATAATTTGAGTCATTAGGTGTTTGGATTACCAATAAAGACTTCCTCTACAATATCTATAGAAAGCTCGTCGTTGATGATCTCCCGATAACTACCCAAGAAATAAACAATATCATCAAATCTACAGAAAGAGGAAAAGTGCCCGGGGGTTGACGAACTTTCCATAGATATTGTAGAGGAAGTCTTTATTGCTATTCCGAATCTTATGACTCGGATTATGAACAGATGTCCGAGTTCAATGCTCGAGATGAACAGATGTGTGAATTGTGAACAGATGTTCGAAATGACAGAGGTAATAAAACATATCCCAGAATTTTTCTAGTCAACAAAATCCAGTGTTTTTTCTATGTCATCAAGTTATCTGATCTTAATATGGGATGCAAATAATCTAAACATATAATTTTGACAATTTTTAAGATTTGCAATTGCCATATTAAAGAGCATTTTTTTAAAACTATATGTAATAAATAAAATGAAGAAAAACTTGAAACATTCTTTGTAAGAGGGTTAATATAAAAATTTTAGTTTCATACATTTTTATTAAAAGATGGGATGTCACCAAAACTGTCATACTTTTAAAAGTTAATTTATTTAGTTTTTCAAATACTTAATTTAATGCTGCATAGCATGAAATATGTAAATCATGGAAAAACTTTTCCTTATATGGGTGAATGATTACAGTCAGGTGATTGGAGTCAAATTTCAATTCAAAACAGAAGGAACATATCTCACAAAATACTGAAAATGTGACTTAAAATTAGTATGAGTTTTGAATAGTGTGTTTTGATACTTACTTTAACCATGGGGAGCAGCAGAGTTTAGGCTTCAATCGGGAGAAGACATTTTTCATTTTGCACCTGAGGTTATGCTTGCAGTGTCTTATTTGAAATTCCAGCATTCATTATTTTTATATGAAATTCAGTATTAAAAAAGTATTTTCATCTGAGTTTATGTTAGTGTGTATTGCTGTGTTTTTTAAGTATTTTATTCTGTATTATAGGTGCTTGGAGTTGGATCCTGATAATTTACATGCATTAATGTCTTTAGCAGTTAGTTACACAAATGAAACACTTCAAGTTCAAGCATGTGAAACATTGGTGAAGTGGCTATTAAAAAATCCAAAATACACCCACTTAGTTAAATCTAACTTTGTTGATGACACTTTGCCAGTATCATCTATATTGCCAAGGTAGAGTATCAAATAGATTACAATTTATATATTCATATGTATTCTTTTCCTTTTTGAAATAATTGTTCCAGTTAAGTTATTATGCTTTTCTTTCGAATACCTAAAAAATGCATTGATGTACGAGGTTACTGTATTTTTACCCATTAGTGTTTTTAAAATCTGTAAAAAAAATTGTTTAACTCAGTTAGAAATTGTTCCAATTAATTTAATATACTTTTCTCTTGAATGCCTAAAAAGTGCATTAATGTATGAGGTTATTGTAATTTTATCCTTTAGTGTTTTTAAAATCTGTAAACAAAATTGTTTACTCTGTATGTACATGTGTTTGTGTGTATGGGTGTCCGAATTAACGACTTTTGACTGTATTAGTATATTTTTTAAATTTAAAACTTAAAGCCCCCCCACAGCTATCTGTAAATACTAACTTATCCATCTTATGGGCAAATCCACATTAACAAATTAATGTATGAATTTTCACCCGTGTTAACCACTGGTGAGGTGCTTACAGCAGTTATTTCTAAAAGCCTTTATTCCTCGTTTAAGTAGCTTGCCTTTTGGAAATGCACTAAAACATTCCATTTTTTCATAAGGTGGGAGCTTTCAAAATTTTCTCTTAACATATTCTGTATTAGCACACAATTATCAATTACTTTTAACATTCATTTACCATATTTTCATATTACCTATCTGCATCAATTTCACTTCTTAATTACATTACTCATAATCAGTTTTATTGTTGTTGTTCAATTTTTTAAATTATTAATATTTAAAAATGAAAATGACTATATCATTTCAATATTCAGTATTCAGATGTTAAATGTTTTGTGTATTATACTCAAGAAACACTTTTTTTTTATCATATTCTACACTATATTCCAAATAAATGTTTCATTCCTTTAAAAATTCTTATCAACTATTAAAACATTTTCGATATAAATTCAAATTATAATTATCTATCTTAGTAAGCTTCCCTAAAAATAATTTTTAAAAAAAATCTTAAAAATTCATTATGTAATTTTATCAAACATAATTATAAATAATTAAAACTTTTGATAGCATGAAATTTTAATTTTTTTATTTTCATCAAACATTTGTACATTTTCTTAAACCAGTGTAGTGATAAAACAACATTATATGTTAAAATTTCAGGATAGAACCAATTGATAAATAAATTATTCGTAATATCGTTAGAATTGAAGAAAGCAGAAGGGAAATAATCTTCTAGCATACAGGTTCAAGCATAAAACAGTAAAAGAGAACCAAAATTATTCGCATAAGAGCCAGAGGAAGGTTCAGTGACCTTCAAAGTACTTTTGAACATATCAGATTATTTTCATTCTAAAAACAGTATGCATGATTATTTGTTGCAGCACAAGTGATTTTTAAACCATCACAGCAGAACAATGATAATTTTTTTTTTCACTTCTAAATATTGAAGAGGTGGCTGAATAAATTTCCGTTCCGTACTTGAGGGATTCTGTATGACTAAATTAACTGTTAATGATGAGATGTTATCTGTAATTACTTGGAAAGACTTTAATTTGTAGATTCACAAGGTGATATAATGGAGACACACTTGACGAAAGCAACGCATTTATTTATTCGTGGGCATTCTTGATAGGCATAAACATGTTCATATATCATTTTAGGTGCTTATTGCACCCTCCGTACTTTTATATAATGGATTACGTTTTTAAATCTTTGGACAAAGCAGAACTGGGAGAATACTCAAGTTGTCAGCAGCAAGTAGGGCAAAGCAGAAGCACCCCCCCAAAAAAAAGGTTGATGTAGAGTAGCTTATCTATTTAAAGGTCCAGATATAGTGTTTCTCTCTGAATTTTGATTGGTTGTGACCTAGCCCCACTGCCATTAAATTTTGATGCATTATCAAATGCAAGGGCATATAAAAAGGAAATTTAAAAATCATTACCAATCATTAATAAAAATCTAGAAAAGGAAATTTAAAGGTCTAATTGCCAATTGTTAATAATTTTGTTAATGATTTAGTTTCATATTTTGTATTCTGCACACAAACACATACATATATACAGGGTGTCCGAATCAAATGTATTTATTTTGAACAGTCGATTAGAAACAAAGTTTTACCACTACAAGGGTAATATTGGCCACACGTGGGAGCTTAATTCACAGAGTTTGGTGACAATATTTTTTTTCTTGCATCTAAGGCACTTGTGCTTTAGCTGAGCCGAGAAACGAAAAAATGGCATGACTGCAAGAGAAGGCACAAATTGTTCTCTGGTATGCAAAACACATATCCATATTCAGTTTACGAAAGAAATCCACCTCAAGCTAAGAGCATAAAAAAGTGACACAAAACGTTTCTCGAAACGGGAAGTGCCTGGAAAAGATGCAGAGGTGATCGGCTTTCATGTGTGGAAGATGTTCGACAAGCTTTCGTTCAGAACCCTTTTCAGTCGATCAGACAGGCAGCTTCTGAATTATCTGTGCCACAATCAACTATTCATGATGTGCTGCATTGAAAACTGAGCTTGCATGCATATAAAATGCAGATTGTACGGAAACTGCAGCCATGATGGGGCCACAGTGTGCAGCATTTGCCATGGAAATGTTATGTCACAACGAAAATCAACACAGTTTTCTGAATTTCTGTTTTTTCAGATGAAGCTACATATCATCTTAGCAAAACATTAATAAACACAGCTGCAGAACATGGGGCTCAGATAATTGCCATTCACTACATGAATCGGAATTGAGCAACCCCAAAATCGATGTCTGGTGTTTTTTGTCACATGATACAGTCATAGGACAATTTCTCTCTACTGAGACGTCTGTGATGGCAAACATTTACCTGGACATGTTACAAATTTACACAATACTCCAAACGCAGCATTTACAACTCACTGTTATCTTCCATCAAGATCCAGCCCCTCATTACTGGAGCTGCGAATTTTTAAATACAACTTTCCCTAACCAATGGATAGGACGCAGTGGCCCAATTGCCTAGCCACCAACATATCTGGACGTGATACCTCTTTCTTCCTTTGGAGGTACATGAAAGACAGTTTACTCAGGGAACATCTGTGATAATAAAAACTTTTGTGCCTCCGTAACTTTGGCTAGTGCTACTGTGAGTCTGGAAATGCTACACCCGATATGGGTGGAATTGGACATTCTCTGCGCTACTAAGGGAGCTCACGAGGAATTGTACTGATTGTTTAATAAAAACTTTCCAAGTATTGGTATCTAATTTTACAGTTTTCTTATGCTTTTAAACTTTCTGTTAAGTAGAGCGACCTCTCTAAATTAGATACATTTGATTCAGACACCTGTATATGTATACATATGGCTTGGGCTGTTTTGGATTATGGAAACTGCACAAGACCTAGGGAAATGAGTACCAGACGATTTTTTAAAGGAAACTAGCTTGTAGTCATGTTTACACATAGGAAAAATTATGAAAACTTCTTTGCGAGCAAACGAATTGCCTGGGTTTGAAACCTGGGCAAACTACCAGTGCTCAGGGCTCTTACCACTTGGCTGCTGTTGGCCACGTATATGTATTAGATGAAAAATCTTGTGTTTCTTAGAGGCATCCTTTTCCTCTGTCCCTTGTTTGCTTTTCCATAATCATTTAATCAAAACAACCATATTATGTTTATTACAATCTAACTATAAGAATTTATGGATTATTATTGTCTTTAGGTTTGATTATGTTTGAAAACATGTTTATTATTTAAAGGATATGAGGAGGTGAGAGGATATTTGCTTTTGAATAAGTGTCTTATTGATTTATATAGGAAGAGTATTAAGTCAAACAAAATAATTGTGTAAGCAATTACATGAAGATAGTACTGTGATTCTGTAATTGTAAACTAAATGAATGGACTGTATAATAAAGAACGCTAGCAACTTTATTAACAGTAATTACTTTATTCAGTACTATTACTTGTTGCCTTAGCCGAAACCAGTGGCCAAGTGAGATTTTCTTTGTCTCTAGAATAGGGAGCGCTGCATTCTAACTTAATATGCCACTGCCGGTTGATATTCCAAATTTCAATATGTAAATTAAAGACACAAAATTTAACAATTTCAGAACCAACTAATGAGACAGACAATAAGTTTGTGCAGGGCTACGTATCAATTCTTCTGCAAGGTTTGAGACGGTTCAATAAGTATTTGTGTATACATCATCTGAACATCAGCTCCTAGTACATAGTTGTGCTTTCAAAATCTAATATTAGTAGGGAAAAAAAAAGTTGAATTAAGTTGATTTTCCATTAGTAGTAGTGGCTGATGTATTCAACACAATGCACAGTTTGGTAGAGGTTTTCTTTAGATGATAAACTATGATTAAGATAATTGCAGGTAGCTATTTCAGTTTCTTGAACTTCGTCCGCGTTATTTAAATCTTTATATACATGGATAAAATTCTTATACAAGGTTTTCATATTTGAACCGCTTTCTAGTCAGTTTCACAATTAATGTAATCTTTTCTCAGCAAGCATTTTTGATTCTTCCAATTCCACACCTTTCTTAAAGTGTAATTGAACTTTGCATGAAGCAGACATGGTATATCCAAAAACTGTTTCGTGGCATATCAAGGGTTGATTTTTGTATTGAAATTTTCCTAATTTTAAAATCTCAAAGAATTATTTGACTCCTAGTAACATATCTATTTTATTAGAAGTTCCAAATTGGGGATCAGCTAATTGAATGTTAGTGAGAATATTTAATGACTGTACATTTAAATTCTTTGATGGGGGTTATGTTGTTAATTTTGGAAATAACCAAGCAGTTGATTCATCTTACATATTATAAGGCATTTCTCCCACTTTCCTAGCCTGCCTTCATGGTGTAGTGGTTCTGCATGCTGGGCTGATACTCCAGAGGTCCTCGGTTCGATTCCCGGCAAAGGCGATTGCTAATTTTTAATCTCTCTTGCTTCCAAATATCCTGATGTCTCTACAGTGGTGCCCGAACTAAAAGAGGTGTTGGATGAGGATTCTCCACACTCAGGATTTGGCAATTGTCCTCTAAAAACCCCAGTCGCCCTTTAAAAAGGGGAGTATATAAAGTATTTCTCCCGCTTTCCTAGCCTGCTTTCGTAGTGTAGTGGTTCTGCATACTGGGCTGGTACTCCAGAGGCCTGCGGTTCAATTCCCTGCGAAGGCGGTTGCTAATTTTTCAATCTCTCTTGCTTCCTAATATCCTAATGTCTCTACAATATGTTAAATCCTTATTTGAAATATGTACATCTACTTGATAATTAATATTTCTAATGTTCTCATTTATTCCAGATATGGATGCATAAATTCTTTCTTCTTTTTATTTAACAAACTGGCAACTCTTTCTATCAGAAAACAGGGCATGTTGCTGTTATCGAGGATGTCTTTTTCCTTGATACTGGAATCAAGGAAACTTGATCAAGTTTTGGAATCAAGGAAACCTTTTAACTGGAATCTTTTTCCTTTTGAATTACAAACATATACTATTGCAGTCACTAATAAACACATTTTTTGATGTAAAAAGAAACTTAATTTTTTGAGAACAATATGCATTGTTGTTAGTAATGTCATCACTGGATATTTCTATTTACGTTTGATTAATGGCACCATTGCTGAGAGTCGATGGATTAACAAATGATGTTTTTTATGGCATTCAGAACATCTGAACTTAGAATAATATTTTGTGATAAAATGCTCCTTTCTAAGTCAGTTTAAGCACAATTTATTGTTTTTAACTATTTCATATCTTTGATTTGGATTTAATTTCAAAATTGAGTGGCATTTATGTAGTAAATTATTATTTTTACATGTCACATAAGACGAAGCACTATCAATTTTAAGCATCAGAGTTTTTGAACTTTTTTTCTGATGGATATATTTTTTTTATTATTATTTAACTAGTATAGCTGTTAATGTTATCCAGTAATTGATATTTTTTCTAACAACGAAAATAATTTATCAAATGTAGGAACTTCTCTAGCATTAATGCTTAGATGAAATTGTTTATGTGTTTTATAATCTAGCTTGAGGAATGATATTTAATAACAGAATATCTGATAAATTATTTTTCTTATACTTTAAAATATTCAAATCCCTTATGTTTTTAGTAACATTATCTATTACATAGCTTATCCCCTTCGATGATTTGAAAGTAACATTATATATATCCATTATTGACTTTGCATGCATCTTGATTAAGATTCTTTTATTTTCATATTTATCATGAAGAGCTTTAAACAGAGAACTGAAAGTATCATCAACAGTTTGAAGAGTTTTTGCTTTGTGAATTAATGCAGTCTATAAATAATAGTTAACTGAGTATTATTTTCAATAATGTTTTCAAATTGCAACTTAAAATGATTCTATTTGGTATATTTACCAAAAAATTTAGGAATTGATAATTCTGGCAAATGTATTTGTACTTTAAAATCAAATTTACTATAATTTCTTTCATTTTCAGAATGATAGAATAGATGATTAAATTTCCATAATTCTCCAATTCTATTATTTTGGCAGTTTCTTCATTAATTGCTGTTACATCATCTTTTTTTTTTTTTTTTTTTTTATCAACACTTTCAAAATATTTATTTCTTAAGTTTCTGATGTCCATTTGAATACTTTAGAGCATTCTATACTTTATTTGAGTTTTGTTTTCATTTACATTATTATCATATTCCTTATCTATATTTTCTAATTGAGTTAGTTTGAATTTTAACACTGTTTTATTTCTCTCCAGTGCCAATATTTTGTTCTTTACTCTAATTCAATGGATTAATGTACTGAGATTCTATAATTCTAAGCTAAATGAGTGGACTATATAGTAAAGAACTGGAACAACTGTATTAATGGTAATTACTACATTCAGTACTACTATGTTGCTGAAATCCGTGGCCCAATATATACATGGATAAAAGTTAATAATTATATACATGGATAAAAGTTTCTTTCTGTTTACAATAGATGGAACTGTATTCTAACTTAATAAAGATGAATAGCCATTTTGAATTTTAGCCCTGTTCTCACCTCAGAAATTGTTCTGTATCATTTTATTCTTTTGATTATGAAAAATATTTAGAGATTTTGTTGTATTTTATGCATTTATTTTTCTTAGTAAGAAACGGGAAGCGGCCAAAGAAATGTTTATTGAAGCAGCTCGAATGAACCCTACAGATCCAGATCCTGATGTTCAGAATGGTCTAGGTGTTCTCTTTAACCTCTCCAGTGAATATGACAAAGCAATAGATTGTTTTAAAGCTGCTTTGCAAGTAAGACCAGATGTAAGTATTGCCATTAATCCTTACGCTGATTCTTTCATCTTTTAGCATATCAAAATTGTGTATCGAATGAATTATACACGTTCTTATTGTTATGTATAAAAGGAATTTTGTGTCTTTTTCTCCCTTTAATTTAAGGTTAGGTAAATTATAAACATTTGATTCAAATCTAAAAATTAAATGGACATTAAGCTTTTTTATAAGATTGGTGGTGGTGTAAGGTTAAGGGTTCTGAACCTTTTTTGCCCCATGCGTCCTTTTTACTGTTGCTAGACGATCATTTCCCCTCCTATTTAAAATTTAAAAAATATTTCGGGTAAATATTCAGGTTTGTTTATATAAAATATTTCAATTTGTTTTTATATTTTTCAAAAGATGTCTCTGTGATCTATCTCTTAAGTCTGTTCTATGTTTCCACACTTGTACTCGCTTTTGTTTTGGGTTTGAATTGCACCAGAGCTCTCTATATTTATGAAAGAATGTGAACATGTTTTTCTTTTCCTTTTCGGGGGGGGGGTCTCATGCCTATTAAAATTGAAATATTTTTTATGGACTTCTTGGAAAAATTATTTGTAAATAACTAGTAATTGTGTGGGCACTGACACTATGTATTGAAACTGAAGGTGTCCTAACAGATTTCTCAGGCTTTGTTTTCTTATGCAAAAGTTGCAGAAGTATTGTTGACCAAGAAGTGGAGCTATAGGTTTGCTTTAACTATTAACAGAAAGAAGTATTTTAAACTGGCTGACTCGAGTATATGTGGTTCCTATTGTAATGAAATTTTTTCAGTATTTTAAACCCAGCTGATGAAAATTCAGATAGTGAGGGATGGGGATTTAGCATTAAGCTAATAATATCTAAACTTTTAACTTTTTTGTAACTGACTAGGAAGTAAGACATTATTACACTACAGTGTAAACTTACAAATAGGTGTACACTTTAAGAAAAAAATACTGAAGAAGAAAGCCTTAAATGTTAAGCAACAGTAGAAATGATGTTTCAAAAATATAAAAGTAACTATTTATAGCAATAATGTTTGTATATAATATAAAAATATAATGGTTTTGTATTAAAATAAAAAATATAATGGTGTTGTATTAAAGAATTCATAATATATGAGTTTTTTAGTTATTTATGTACAGATAATCAAAACATGCTATAAAATTTAAGAAGAGAAAAATGTAAGTAATACTCGGGAAAACAACAAGCTATAATCAAGTAACGTCACTAATCCAGAAAAAAACCTGTATTCCTGAGATATGCACATTAAAAGAATCTTGTTGTGATATATTTATGTTTAAAAAAACAAAAAAAAAAAAAAATAAAAAATTTTTTTTTTTTTTTTTTTTTTTTTTTTTTTTTTTTTAGGGTTTCTTTATAATTTAGTATTCAAGTAGTGCACAGCACTTAATGTGATCATTTTTATGTAGTAACTTTCTTTAAACCATTAGCCGCTGGTGTTGTGTTGACACAACTGTAAAATAATGCATATTTAAATATAACTACCCAAGATATTTTATACCAGCCAATGATTATGTGTAGGGATATTATGAAGATTTTTTTCGAAAAATATATTTGCCTTCCAACATTTTTATTGTAGTAATTAATCTATCTTAAGACCAGCAAAATGTTTGACCAGGTAGTTTTGCCAAAAATATTTAACAAAAGAATTGCTGTTTTTATGAGGGATTTTTTTTAGTCAAGGTCACTGTTTATCAGATCATTACATTAATGTGACACAGCACTTAATGTGAATCATTTTTATGTAGTAACTTTCTTTAAACCATTAGCCGCTGGTGTTGTGTTGACACAACTGTAAAAATAAATGCATATTTAAATATAACTACCCAAGATATTTTATACCAGCAGATGATTATGTGTAGGGAATATTATGAAGATTTTTTTCGAAAAATATATTTGCCTTCAACAATCATTTTATTTGTAGTAATTAATCTTATACTTGTAGACCAGCAAAATGTTTGACCAGGTAGTTTTGCCAAAAATATTTAACAAAAGAATTGCTGTTTTTATGAGGGATTTTTTTTAGTCAAGGTCACTGTTTATCAGATCATTACATTAATCAGATGTTTATATTTGTGTTGGGAAGGAAGGGAAAACGGGTGTTGCGCTAACACAACTTCAGCAGGAAACTGGTAATCTCCTTTTTTACTCATTCCTTTCGATGTTCTGGTTTATGTTCTGGCTGCTTTAAAAATGCCTATAATGAGGTGGTATCTTACATTAGAAGAAGACCTTCAAAGATTTTTTGATGAAGAAATAGTTGATGATAATGTTAATAATAATCAGAATGAAACTGATATTGTTGTTGTTCTCCCCCAGAAATTGCAGAAGCTAGAGATGAAGAAGAAGGGAATGACAATGTTTTAAACAATGATTATGATATTTTACCAAATGATATTGCTGGGGAAGTTGAAATTCACGAAAGAAATAAGTTTCAGCCTTCTAAAGCAGTGATGTCATACTACGAAAAGTTTTAAAAAGCATAAAACTGAAAACTTGAAATGGATAAAAAAGGAACCCTCAGTTTATGTCTCAGGAAGAGAGATAGAAGAAAAGCTACAAAATACAAAATACAAGGTAAAACTAGTGGAGAGATTTTTTATTTTCTTTTAGACATTTACTCTCTTCTCGTTGAACAGACAAATATATATGCTTAGCCAAAAAATCACCCAGAATTTATTGCATCTGAAGCCTATATGGGAAGATTTATTGGAATATTATTGCTTACGGGATATCCTTCTTTACCTCAAGAAGAAATGCATTGTTCTCTTGATAAAGATATTTCTGTTCCTATTGTACGAGAATTGATATCATGTATGCAATACAGGAATATGAAGCAGAATTTGCATTTAGCTGACAATTGTCAAACTGAAAGTACTGATAAATTATATAAGGTGAGACCATATCTAAACTTACTAAATCTCATAACTTTCTATTACTGGAAATAAAAAGTCTCTTTTAGATTTCAAATGCGAGATTGCATTATTCCTTTTGTAACCTCCTATTGAGAGGTGAATTAGCCAGAAATAGATCAGCAACAGAAAGACCTAGTAAATTCAGCATTCAAACACCACTGCATGGAGATGGTAGACATTTTATTGTAAAGTCCGATGATAACAAAAGCCTTCGTAGTAGAGTGCCATAGTCGGACTGTTTATAGATGCAAAGTATGTAATGTAGCTTTACATCATGATTGTAATCAAGATTTCATGCTTGAATCTTTCAATTGAAATAATCTGTATTTGTAAAAGAAATATAATGTATATTTTAATATTGAATATATTACAAGAAAAGTGATTTGTAGATTTATAAAACATTATAAGCTAAAAAGTAATCCAGTGCTCCACTTAAAGGAAACATCGCACGAGTACAATCCTATTCATTAAACATCCATACTCTTATTCCGCTGATGTTGCATGAACGCAACACTCGCTTTTTTTCTCAGGTAGAGCTTTTTTTAAAATTTTAACTGTAAATTAATGTTAGAAATGCTAAATTTAATATTTGTTATTGTTTTCATGAGAAAAGAATCATTCCTTGTAGTTTTGGCAGTTAATGTGTTAATTAAGCTGCACGAGTGTACGTTTTAAATTTTTATTTGAATATTCTTCGTGAATTTTTTCAGAAGGATGCCAAAGTTTTAATTTTTAGTGTAGTTTTATATTTTTTAGTGTTAGCTGTAGTTTGAGTTTGTTACATTATTATTATTATTATTATTATTATAGGATAGTTTGCTTTGGAACCGAATTGGGGCAACCTTAGCTAATAGTAATAGGCCTGGAGAAGCTATTGAAGCTTATTATCGTGCTTTAGAACTCTATCCAGGCTTCATTCGTGCTCGTTTCAATTTGGGTATCAGCTGTATCAATCTTGGTGCTGCTAAGTAAGTATGATAGCTCTGAAGCTTTTTTTTTTTGTACTAGTACATGAGTGTTTATGTATATGGACAAAGTATGAGGTACAGAATCGAGATTTCTGCTATCCTGGGTTCTTAGAAATTTGTAGATCATCAATCTAATAAGATAACATGTAGAAATTATAAAATTAAAATGAGGCATTTATGATCTTAAGGAATCAGAGTGGGGGGAAAAACAACCAAAAAAAAAAAAAAAACTATGTACTTTAAACATTTTTATCAAATAATCTAGTTTGAAGCAGTTTTATTGCTTCATTTTTTATATTAATAATCTCTCTTTAATTTGATGGACAGATACAATTTCGTATTCATTTATGAAATTCCACTGTTCAAGTTCTGTAACTCAAAAGTTCCCACTAAACTGTCAAAATCTTTTCATTTTCAGAGATCTCTGTCATTTTCTTCATTATCAGCAGCAAATAACCATATGACAGATCAACTGGATTTAAAACATAACAGGATTTAAAACCATGTGACAAATTTTGCTGTACATTAGTTGATTGCTTATTGCAGCACTGTCTCCTTGCAGTGGCAAACATCTGTTATATCATCTTCATTTATTATCATTTCTCCACATTTTTTCACTAATTCCATTAACTGGAAAATTTCACCTTCTTTTCACCATGTATAAAAACTAGATCATTGCTTATTTTAAAATAGCACTTTCACAAGCCCGTAGAAAATATCACTTTTACATAGAAGGCAAATACTCAACATGCTTTCGCTTTGCATAGCCTGCTACAGCTTCAGAATTAGAAACTCTTTTTGACACAGATATAAATTCAAACTTTAATTTTGATGTAGTTGTAAATAATATCCTGCAAAATAATAATAAGGTGGATCAAATTGGGAAGTTTAGAAGAATACAATTTGCTATGTTAACTGAACGTAAGTTTTTCAGAATCTAATTCTTTTTTCTCCTCCCTGCTACTATGGTAATGAGAAAAAAACCAGTATGAGCTACACTCTACTCCAAGTAATCATGTCTTAACATCTTGGTCATTGTTTAGGTCAGAAAAATGTTCCCTGCAACCATTCAGGGGCCTGAAGTGTGGTCAAGGTTAAAATCAGTCAATATTGTAATTCCTTAGTAAGAGAGAGCAAAATGCAAAGCTATTAAACAAATGGTTTCGTCTGATGAGAGCTTCTCAAGATGTGCCCAACCATTGGTCTGGAAACTGTGACCCCCTCAAATCTGGATACATGCTTTCCTTTCCAGCCAAAATTATTCATTTGTTTACTAAACCGTTTCATGATGCAATCACTTTTCCATAGGCGAAAGTGACTCCCCCCCTTTTTTTCCTTTTAGGAGACTACCTGAGGAATCTTTTACTTGTTGGCCTCTTAATGGGATCATGTGAGGCAACGGAGGCAATTTTAATACAAGTATCTGTCAATCAATGCATTGTCATTAAAGTTGACATACAGTACTCTTAGCTAGTTAAGAGGAAAATTGCTTTTATGGTATCCCTGTTTATTGTTATTATTCTCATGTCCTGGATTTGTTTTAAAAATATTGTTGGTTGTCTGGAGGTTTGGATATTAGATTATTGCAGATATTAGATATCTGGATTCCAGACATTGTATTGTTTATTGTGAATTAGCTTTGGGAAAACATAAATGCTTTTGTGCATATATGAAATGTTTGAAAACGTTGTCTGTAAAGATGCATATTAAAAAAAGACTTTTAAATTGTGTGTTAATGACTGTAGATGGTGTGCTCCATCAATCTTGCATACCTAAAGGCATATCTTTAATATATTGATTGTACTGGGTTCCAGTCTCTGCATTTGTTGTCAGGCAGCTACTGTTTGTGTAAGGTTAAGTGTAGGCTGCTTGTCAATTAGTGAAGAGGCAAAAATGAAGGAATTGGAAGAATAATAATAGAAGTCTTGGGCATCTGGTGTGAAGTCTTTGCCGAAACAGGGGAAAACTTTCGTGGAAGCATTCTGAATGCCTGATTAACCAGATAAAAACGACTGCAAGAGCCAAACACCATACTTTAATTGATTTCAACATTTTAAAAAGGAGAGTCAAAGTTTGATTGATGAAGATCCAATGGCTTGGTGACCTTTCATGTCAACATATGACCAACATGTTCAGAGTGCATCATGAATTTCTATCACATGGTCAGATGGAAAACAAGAAAGTCTACCAAAGAATTTTAACACAGTTAGTTGTATGTACTAATAGTCCTGAATTGTGGGGTGGGGGATGGTATCAGTCCTGGATGTTGCATCATGACAATGCTGCAGCTTTGCCATATAGTACTAACTACAGATTTGTAGAAACTATATTCTGGGCCAATGGTTAATTTAGCTACATCCAATTCTGTATTTTTCAAGTAACATTTATTAATCTTTAATTCTTTGATACAGAACATTGTGTCTTTTATGTCCTACTGTACAGATGAGTTTTCAATATGGTGAAGAGATGTAGGTAAAAGAATATTTTAGCTCTTCTGAAAGATATGAAGGAGTATTCATCATCGCTAATCTCTCCTGTTTGGTTTCAAGGGGAATGCATTAATTTCTCCCAAGATATGCATAGTTGCAAAGTAAAAATGCAAAATAACCCTTATAAAGAATATAAATCTTTCCAAAGATATAAAGAACACACTGCCCTCCTATTCAGAAAACATAACATCTTAATCACTGCAGCAAAATAAACCAACAAGAATAAAAGAAATCCCATTCCATAAAAGATGAATCATCTGTATAGGTACCAAGATCATAAGAATTTACTCACTACTTCCTCCATCCTTGAAAAACTAAAATTTCAAAATTATCATCATAGTATCAACCTTGAACAAAGCTCCATCTGTCAGCTGAATCAAATTATTTGAATGTTATCAAAAGAAATATTCAAGTTCTGTGATTTTAATGGTCATGGACACTATTATAACATCAAGCTACGCTTATTGGAGAACTGTGTAATTTTATCCATTTCCCCTAGCATTTAATAACACATAATAGGATGGAACTGTAAATAAAGGAACAATAACGTAAAGGTTTTTTCCTACCCTCACTATAAATGAATGTGGGTCCTTTCTAAATGTAGATCATTTTGAGAGCTAGTAATTTTTCTGATAAAACTTACAAAAAATATGAAAAATGTTAAAACATGTAAGTCAAAGATTTCCATAAAGTTTGTTATATCTGATTTTCATACATTTGGAGTTGTGCTATAGCCACGTAAAATAACATTGAGTGTATGGGAAATTGGATGGAACTAAAAGGTTTCTTCATTATGTTATAAATCAGGTTCACTGTAGCCGTTTCTGATTATAGGGAAAAAAGTGTTATTCTTATCCAAAATAATTATTTCCTTTCGTAAAATTCATTTAGCTACACAAGGATTAAAAAAATTTTTATTACTGTACTTAGCCAACCTGCTTTAGGTGAGATAGGTTGTTAGCTCTGTTAATAAGATTTGATCTGATTCAGTGATTATTCTATTCCCTCCTGAAATTAACAGGATTTGCTTTTTCATAGAACTTCTAAGTCATCCTTAGTTTCAATAAAAAAACTTTCTAAAAGCAATCCCCTTAAAAATTTAATAATTGTTTTTTCCAAAATATTTTGAGCAAGGAGAAAATTATTCATGCATATTAGCGGAATTTTGCTTGTGCTTCTGTTCATAACAAAATATTACAACTTTGGAGGAAATTTAATTGTGAAGTTTGTCAAATCTACAAAAACGTTTTTATGTATTGTGCTGTCTTTTTGTTAGAAATTTAAAGATTAAGGCCGTATCTGATATTATCATTTCTCCAGTCTTGTGAGTTGACTTTCTGCAGTGTAGTCATTTGCAGAAAATACTGAGAAGTCAACTGCTGTTCTTGAGAACTTTTGGTGAGGATAGTAGATAAAAATTGCTGTATCTCTCTTTAGACAATATTTTGCAGCCCTTTTATGTTTGAAATTTTCAGTCTTTTAACTGATAATTATTGATATAAGTTTATTCTGTGTATTTTTGAAGCTGTTTGTGATATCTTAGGGAGTAACCAACAGTAATATATTAAATTACACTTGTTGATTATACTTTAACTGAGCATATTAATTTTTTACATTGATTCAAATTATTGTTCAGGAAAATAAAAAGCAAAAAATGCAGCTGCAGTTCATAAAGCATTTCAATGCTCTTTTTATGTTAATCATTCCATGATGTATAACTAATAATAATGCTCTTTATAATTTTCAGAGAAGCAGCTGAGCACTTTTTGTCTGCACTTAATCTACAGAATGCTGGAAGAGGTCCACAAGGGAAGTCATCTAAAGCTGCTATGTCAAGCAATATTTGGTCTACTCTGCGTACTGTAATGACGCTCATGAAGAGGACGGATTTATATCAAGCTGTTGACAACAAAGATCTTGATTTGCTCAATAAAGAATTTGGGATGGAAGTCTAATTAAAATATATAAAAGTTCAATTATATTTATCTGTAGTTTATCCATCATAGACTATTCAGTTATTTGAATCTCTTCTCCCTGAAGGAGAAATTATTTACAAACGTAACATACAAATTATTTACAAACTGTATTTGCTTGCCTCAATAGTAACTATCGAAAGATTTATGTGATCTAGTATTATCTGTATATTCTTCTTTTGCTCTGGATTATTGTGTAACTCCTGTATAAAATTTCAATTCCAATAATAAATTTTCATTGTTTTTTACCAATTTTGAATTGTTGCTTCCCCCCGAATGTATTTATATGGCAAAATTTTGTATATTTCTGTTGAACTTATTGAAGACTGGTAATTCTGTGCAAATTTTACTTCTGATAAAATGAATTGATTACATTGATTGGTTCCATTTGTAAACATATAACGTTGCGTGCCTCCAACTTGCACGCAAACCCTACAAACACAAGCCAGTTTCAGGGAAGCACACCAGTCGGATGGCGAGTACATTGATATTTTCAAGGTAAATTTATTAGTTGACATAATATATGAAAAAATTTTAAAAAGTATTTAAAAATATAATTTCAAGTTATAAAAATTATTGATTGAATTCATGCGAAAAGTAAATAATTACTAAATAATTTACAGGTTTATTAAAAGTTCTTTATAAGGAATGTTATTCTTAAAGTGCATTATTTGCCATTTCATTTTATCAGCTATTGCTTCGTAATTAGGACCAGTGTGATGAAATCCCTGCTCATAAGCAATCAAGTTGTTCATATCAAAGTTGATTTGTGTACTTTTATTTTGTGATATTAATTATTGAAAACAGTGATTCACAAAAATATATGGAACCGGAAAGCGATTTTATCTAGTATGATGCTTTTGATTGATGTAAACAAATACACTTATATTTCTGAGATAAGCTGCTAAGTATTTAAAAAAAAATATATTTTATTGAAAATTAAATATTTTTATCATAGGCAGCCGGCACACAAAACTGTTGACAGTTGCAATAGTACCTGCGGGCTTTAGTGTTGACAACCCCTGTTCTACATGAAGATTTTAGAGCAGTTAGCCTCAGTGTCTTTGAAATAGTCTATTTTCTAGCTACTGTTGAAATTTATTATAATGTTTAAAATCAAACTTATGTTGCATTTCTGTATAATGATATCTTGTAAAAAAGTTTTAACTAATAAAATTAGGAATATTATTTAATGAGACTTTAAAGTGTGTTTTTAAAAAAGAGGTTAAATTTGTTAACAGTTTTGTAATTTTCTTATTTCAAAGCTAGTTATTTTAATGAATATTCAGTTTATAGAGAAGAGTTATCAAAATTGGTTGGAATCAAGAGTACTTTGAATAATAAGTTCTGAAACATGCAAATGGAATATTGTTTTTTGTTTTAAATATTTAAGTTAATAACATTTTTATACTGAGAAAAAGAAAAATATTATAAAAAAGGGCAAATTTGTTGGTTCGGTTTATATTTATTTGATTATACCAAACCCACTAGGTCTATATGCCTAAGAAAAGGGATGCTTTTGGGGGAAAAAATTCTATGAGACTTTTACTATGTCAGGAAAAACTTCCAGCATGGCACATTTTCTTTATAAAATGTGAATTAAATAAATGGCCAAGTGAAATTTTGAAATAACTACTGATGATTTTGCTTCATTAACCTTTTGATGGTCATCAGGGATTGCAGCTAGAATTCCAGTTATACACTGCAGTGGGTGCAAATGAACATCTAGGATTACAATTTTATGACTGACAGGTATGTGTATTTAGAAAGAAAGAATTACTTAATCTCACAACTGCCGAAGGGTTAAAAGCAAGAAAAGTTTTATATGTATGTGGAATTCTCTTTTAAATCAGATCTTGACGTAGTATTTTTTAAATATGCTTTTATTTAACGATAAGAAATAAAGGGTAATAATGATAAATTAAGTAAAGTTTAAATGTTGAATGGTTCATGTAATGATGCACAATCACAGACAGTCCTTTCACATAGAGTTCCTCCGGCGTTAATAGGATATATTAATTCCAACTAGTTTTAAATAGTATGATCATCTAAAGTCATCACAGCTAAAGGCGAAAAATCGAAAGAAGAACAAGACCATCTGTCTTCTTTAACTCTTGAAGAGGAGAGAGCCGTCTGCTCACGTCTACGTCTGGACGCTATCTCTCGCTGTCTGGGATGATTCTTACTGCGCTGAGCGGTGATGACGTCATAATGCTGGTATTCTAATTCAGCATCGGGCGGTGATGGTTCCCACATATATGTGTGTGTACATATATATTAGATAGATAAACACATTACATGTATATGTAATTTATCTTTTTGCCTGAGGTGAAAAAATATGTAAGTATGGCTCTCGCTAATCATAGTTGGGAATTTACAGTAATTTTGACTTCAGTTGTGCAAATATTATCTGCAGAGCTTCTTCATTTGGTAAACTGTATTTCTATTGAAATCTTTATTCATGAAAATGCGTCTTTAGTCAATGGCATTAATTCTAATCTAGTAGTTCTAAATGCCTTTCAGAACTTGAACTCTTAGCCTTTTTATGTTTTATTAATATTATCTCTGACAGGTGACGATTTATTTTCACTTTGCTTCATACATTAGTTTCCATATAAAATGATTTCCTTCTATCTTTGGGGGGGGGAAATGAAAGAGAGGGAGAGATCTATGTCTGATCACCTGCGAAAACGATAAGAATTTCATACAAAATCTAAGCTAATCTAAATTTGCCTTTTTGCCTAATTTTAAATTAATAAATAAATAAAAGATATAGTGAATGCAGTATCAGTAGTATTAAATGAATTAACACTTTGTTAATTATAAGTAATCAGATTTTGTGTTAAAGTGATGGGAGTATAAATACATTAATTATACAGTCAAAAAAGTTACTTATACACAGTATACTGTATTTATGTGTTTTCTGTAATAAAAAATTTAATCTAATCAAACCAAAGTTTATTTAGATGTATACTTATATAATGCAACTAAAGCATTTCTTTTCCACAAAACATTCTTGTCTTTTTAATATTTTTTAGACTTTGCTTACACACAGACAAATAACTATATACAGTTTCGAAACATTTATTAATAACCAACAAAGATAAGGTATATTGTTAGGGTTTATGCATTTGAAGAGCATAAACCTTGCAAACATGTTGGCATACCACTAAATTTAATGAAAGTACCAGAGGCACCAATGGTAATTCCTACCAAAAGCATGGCTACTGACACAGAAGCAACAGCACCACCTTGGTATTTTGTAGATTTAGGGCGTGTCAATTTTTCTGGCTTTTCAGTTCTTGTGTCTGGTGAGCTTGTGATCGAAATACCACCTGGAGGTGTGGAGATTATATTAGCTGTTAAACCACCTTCTTTTGTGCTTTTTTCTTTTTCTGGCTCAGTAATCAAGCTAAAAGGGAACCTTTTTGGCGTAGTAGGTTGTGTAGGTCCTTCCGTCGGCCCAGTATGACGCTCAAATGTGCGATTAAGTTGGAGATTCACGCTATGTTTGACCACATAAATTTTCTGGATCTAAAGGTGTAAAAATGATAAATTATTTCAGTTATTGATTCTATATAATTTACAAAAATAGTAGTACCATGAATACTGAAAATATTACAATAAGCATTTCTTAACCTTTTTAGAATAGGAGAGTCATTAAAATAATTTTCAGTTCTCAAATAATCTGTATGCAAGACTTGTATCGACTACATTTAAGGTATTTTAACAGGATGATTTAAATTACACTCAATGATAAATATCATGTTTTGAATGTATGCATTGTGTTTTAAATGTATATTATTGCATTAAAATGTCTGTTCAGGAAACATTTTTTGCTTTTGGGCAGAAACTTAAGCATTTTTAAATATTTAGAGGATTACAATTCTTTTTTTGTGCATTCATAAAAAAGGTACTAGGTAAAAGTTTTCCTTGAATGTTAATGATAGATTGTAGCTTTGGGAAATTACTTTTGCTGATTTCTTGGATTTCTTGTTCAGGTATTGTACTTTAACCAAACTGACTTTATTATAACTGTCAAAAGAAAGAAAAATAGCTCTCTCCATCTTATTATGTATCTACCTTTGAAGATGAAACCCTGAATGTAAGATATAAAGAAAATGTTTGTTTCTAAGTAGGTTTGTGAAATCTTCCCACTGAGGAAACTGGCTTTGCATTATTTTCTGCTGTAAAAAGAAGATTCTGTTATAACTGTTGGATAAAAGCAATTTTTATTACTTTAACTTTTGTATATACATACATTTATAATGAGTGGCCACGATAACAAGAAAAAAAATTTTTATATTTTTAGAAAAGGCATTATTTGCAAATTATGGCTAAACCATATGTGGTTGTTTTTCTATATGTATGTGTATATATATATATATATGGCTGAAATAAAATTACAGTATATGCATGCATGTTGCGCCCTCGAGAACACAACAGATTTTCCTTTTTTATAGTACATATAATCTCAGTGTTTGAAAGAATGGAATCATTGAACACACTGGAAGAGCCATTCTTGAGTGCATGGGAAAAAAAGTTCATATCTACATAAAATTGTACAGAGTGTGTTTACATATTTTGGGAACGATTCAATAAAGAATTTTAAAAAGTATATGCTTCGGAATAAAAATTTCTGGTAACAGCATATTATTTAAAATCAGAAATGTTGCCTGCTGCTTTTAAATTTATTCTTTCAAAATGTCACATGTAAACAAGCTGTGGATTGTAGGATATGCTTTCGCTTTTCAAAGAGAAATATTCCTATTCCAAAATTCAGAAACATTCTGAAGTGCATATTAAAAATTTTAAGTGCAAAATTAGCAACTTTATTAAGCAGAAAGAGAAAAACCATCAATCATTACTTGTACGTGGAAAGAAGACTCCAAAAAAGATATACTCGTATAATGTTTCTAAAAGTTAAATCGTTGGTACCAAGAGAAAATCCGCCAATGTATAAGTCATTTGCAAAATGTTTAAATACATCTATAGCAACAATAAATGAAATGATAAACGAAGATGTACAACATTGAAAAACATAAATGTTAGTCAGATTTTGCCTAGGCATAAGGCTCAAAACGTAATTTGTAGAACTGCTAATGTGCTGAGCTCTATGCAGACTATTTAGCAGAAGAGAAATGGAAATACATTGTGATCTTTGATTAAGTAAGAGTTTACTTAAATAACTGCAGCAAAAATAGTCTATTTACTGTCAAAAATAAGGCAATATATATATACACAGGGTTGAATTCATCATCAATATTTGGTAGGGAGGTAGCCATAGTGATCACCGTTTCGAAGAAGAATTTAGTTCATTTTTAGTTACGGTAAAGCACTTGAGGGCTATCTCCTTAAGGGGAGGGATGTCTTTGTGGAAGACTTTCCAAGTTTCAAAAAAGGACATTCTGAATGTTCTGTCAGAAAAGAATTGCATGATATATCTCAAGCAAACATACTCTGTTCCATGAAAATATGGGGTACTCGCACTTAGTGGCTTACGTTCTCAAGCTTCTTCAAACAATCATGTGCTGTGCTTTTAGTATATTTTTTCCGTCTGCTAATTCTTGAACTATGCAACCAGGATCTTCAGAGAGACTGTTTTTTAGCCCAAAGTGCTATTAGTTTCGAAACATAATTTTGTATGATTCACTGTAAATGTCATTCTCAATAAATGCATTAACTTTGCATTCAAGTATATTGCCATTTCGCAAAATGCAAGATATTTTATTTCTCAAATTTAATTTGAGTTATATTGACTTATAAACTAAGCTATTTAAAAGCAATGGATGCTGTTCTTCTGATGCAGTTCATACTTTTTCTACTTTTAATCTGATTGATTTAAATAAAAATGCATATAATTCACAATATATCTAATTAAAAACATTAAATATTTTTATAGAATTACATAACATAATTTTACATTTTTAAGTGTACAGAAGATATTTAACATTCCCATGTTAGTCTAAATGTTCTGTATTTTCTGGAGTATAACGTGCACTGGTGTATAATGTGCACTTATATTTTCGAGCTACATTTTTAAAAATTTTTAGGTATATTCGCCGTATAACGCACACCCAATTCTTTACGAAAAAACTTAAAAGATGCATGTCCAATGTTTTGGTTTTCTGGGGTCACTTATTTGAAGATTTGTCTTAGCCTTTCGAACAATGTTATACTGAACTCGCAAACAATAACAGGAACAGTATGTGTGTGGGTTACATGCTTAAGGAAATAAATATGCCTGCAAAGAGGGTACATTGTATTCGGTGCAAGTGAACAGAGGAATGTTATTGTAGGATTTCGAGAAAAGGGGGATATAATTTGGAGTAAGAAAGCACTTAAAACCCGAAAACATTCGCGGAATTATGATTCAGATGTTTTCTCTTTCTATGTTCATTTTGAGCCGTGATTTTTAGTCAATTTTTATAAATTAAATAGTGATTTTTAGTCAAAGCCGTGATTTCTAAATCAACATCGAAGATTTTATTTAAAATACAGTTAATCTAGCATTCCTTTTAGTACTAAATATGGCTGCTTCCAAACGAAGCAACATAATTTTTTAAATGCGAAGTCATTCAGTTTGTGAAAGAAAATGGAAATCATGCTGCAGCAAGGATGTTTGGTGTTCGTGAAAGATGGAACGGGTGGCGATTATTTAATGGATCAGGGAAACAGTGATGGTAAAGATGACTCAGAAATCGATGATGTACCTGAAGATGTAATGGAAAACGAACTTTTCATGTTAACCAATCATGAAAAGATTTTAAGTTCAAAAAGTATGCCATTCTTTTAAATACACAGCATAAGTACATGTAAAAATGTAACTTTTGTATGCTGATTTATTCCCTATTTTTAATCTATCATTTTTATACCTGGCGTATGATGAGCACCCGTAAATTTCGATCATAATTTTGGCATTAAAAATGCACGTTATATGCTGGAATATATGGTATATTAATTTGCTAGCCTCTAAAATGCCCCAGCACCACAGAAACAGAATCGTTAATCAGCAGGCAGTAATAACTTACACCGTACAGGCCATTAATCATTTAGACCATGTTTGCACAGCCTCCTGGCCACATTCAGTAGTCTATTGCATGTGCTTTGCTATATCTCCTGCTGTCTGCCGCTCTTGTCTTTTCTCGCCAGTAGTCGTTCACCGCTGTTGTTGCTCGTGGACGACCACTGGTGAACGTTCTTGCTGTGAGTAATGTTATCTAGGTCGTGAAACGATGTTGTAAGTGATCCCGAACCCCTCCACTGCATCAGTCACACTTCGACCTTCTTCCAACTTCCCAGTAAAAGATCCAAAGAATTATTATATATTATCAGTCATCCTGATGATATCTCGTAATAGCCATATCACACGTAGCAGCAACTCATCATCGTACGAATCACTGTACAGTACCTTTCACTGAATTACTGAGTGTACATCGCCCTTGCGCGACACCCTTTTTTTTAAGTCATGTACCATATATGCACATGCCATATTGTACCTGTCCCAAATCTACCTCCTGATTGATCTTTCAGTCTATTCTGTAGTTTTATTCCGCTTTTATGCTGATTTTCCGTCTCGTCCTTAATTTTTGCACACCAGTGTCTTTTCATGTTAGACGGAACCTATACTATCTATATAGAGAAGAGTTATAAGTTCTTTCTTTTTTTTTTTAATAAACCTGTTTGTTACACAAAAGTAGACCACTTGTAAAGCCATTATTAATTGTGAGTATAATGGTATATTTTAGATGTTTTAGAGTCTTATTTTGTTGATGGGAGGAATGATAATGTTTCCACAATAACAGTTCACATGAGAAAACAAACTGAAAGACTGAGAAGGTGGTTATATGACTATGATATAATGATAATTGACCGGGAATTTAGAGAAAAGTGTCGAACTAATAGAAGAAATTATTAACCTGATCATCAGAATGCCACATTTTCTGCAGAACCAAAACCAGCATACTACAGAAGAATCTAATGAGTCTCGATTAGGGACATTGATAATGCAAGTGGTAGAAGCTGCGAATGTGCTAATAAACAAATTTAAAGCACTTAATCGTGATGCCCAATTCACAACTGCCATTACCTAGGAGACTATTGTACCTGTCCGTAGAATAGTGTGTATTATTTACAATGCTTTTAGACCTCCAACAACAAAAATAGCACAATAATTCCAGAAAGGATAAATGAATAAGTGTTGTTAATTGGCAAAAAAAGGTAAAATGAGTTATCTGGAAAGAAATGGCAGATAATAAGGTTTTCCACATAATGAAAGAATTGAGAGGGTTGACCGTGAATATTTAGAATATTTATCACTTGACACAAGCAGAGAGTTATACATCTAAACATACTGAGGATCACAACAACGCATTTATATAGTGATAAACGCTTTACAAGTTGTTTATTCACAGAGAATATTCTGATGTAATAGGGGTTTTGATTCAAAGCAGACATACATTATTGAAAAGTGTGTACTTTCGATTCAATACAATCGAGCTGGTGCCCAGTGCTGGTCTTGCCAGTGTAAAGTTGGAGCTCGTGTGCTGGGGTGTTTTGCTCATATTGCATTCTTATTGTGGTTCCTTGAGTATTATGAGCACATTCGACATCACACATAAAAAGCATCAGCACATTATATAGATTTGTTAGAAGATGCTGTCGCTGGTTGCTCTGACTAAGAAGATAAATGACAAATGTAATAATTATTAAGTTTCTTTAGAATACTGAGTTAGTTTTTTTATGAGCATTTTGTATCAAGAAAAGTGCTAACTATATTCATGCTTTTACTTGTAAGAATTTGTACCTTTGGACCACAAGTATAGAATCTTTAAGTAGGTAAATATTGAGGTGAAACTATTTTTTTCTTCAATGGTACTAATATACCACAACAAATATAAAGAACTAGTTGGGGCCAAATAAGAGGCTTATCGCTCCTCTTTGATTCCATGCTTAAACTCCTCAAACCATCTTCAAATAGTGTCATCATCTCTTTATTCATACAACAAAAAAATTTATGTGCTTATGGCTGGCATTTTTTTACTTTTGTGAAATGAAAGAGCTTAATTACGACAAAAGCCATTGTTTCTTATCCTTAAGGTTTAGAACTGAACTGAAACAAAAATATTTTAATACATGCAAGAATAACATAACGTGACTATGAATATTTGGTTTCTCTAACAGTCGAATTCAGGTCAATCCCTTTCAGCATTTACAAAACAATTAGAAAAAAATACATTTTGATTTAGAAAAACCCAGAACTTTTTCAGATGATGCAAAGCATTTACTAGAGCATTTTGCATCATGCATAAATGAAATCAAAATATTCTTCGAAAACTCGAATGTTCACTTCAGAATTAACAAGAGATCCGTGATTTAGGTTAAAATTAACACGCTGAATAATGATTATTGGAGAAGGCAAACAACAAGGATCAATGTAAGATTTCTAAATTTTGCAGGACTAGTTTCAATAATTTAAATACCAAACCATCTTCCACAGCTTTTGGAAATTAACTAAAATTTTACTCTCTAAATATTCAACAAATAGAATGAGTTTCTTTTTCTAACATTTGAAAAGCTCTATTTGCCTTGCTTTTCAATTTATGATTCAATTATCCATCATGCACTAAAATTTTTTCAACCACTGATCTTTTATTGGAGAAGTCAAACAACAAGAATCAGCACAATATTTGACAAGTTTCCAAGACTAGTTTTTATGGTTTAAATACCAAACCACCTTCCTCAGCTGCCTAAGCGCAAATGAGCAAGATAAGATATAATGATATGTAAGAATGGCTGGACAGAGGTTAAGGTACTAAGTTTCATGTATTAAAATAAAAACAACAAAAACTAAAACATAATTTCCTTAAAGGCTTAGAGGCTAGAGGCTTAAAGGCTTCCTTAAAGGTAAAGATGGATTGGAATTAGAGTCGTTAACTACATTTCACGGATTTTTGGCGCAATTGTTGGCGCGGTTTTTCACAATCTTCAGCCATCTTGAAAAACGCCGTTTTTACGTTATTTTGCGCATAGTAAAGTATTCGAAACTTTAAAAAAATAAATATCGTTAAAAATAGTGGATTAATTTTTTGTTGAAAACGTTGTTCTTTAAGATGGCACGCAAATGTAAATAAATACATTTACTTCGAGTATAAAATACTAAAGACAGGTTAAATTATTACTTTCATATAGCATAGAAATAGAATAAAAATACCACTATAAAAACATTGCGCCAACGTTTAATTGGATTAAAATATTACGTAAATTGAATATCGAATTAAAAACCATCATACCAACGTTTAAAAGAATTAAAGGTCCTACTTTGGTAGAGGGTTGCACGGATTGTGGCGATTTTTCTTTTGGCCAGTAGTACGACTTATGGTAAACACATTGCTGGCTAAATTATTTATGGTAACGGATACTTTGTCGTCATTTTATTTAAAAAATAATGCGTTTTATTATGCATAAATTCCGTGTTTTAAATATTATTTATGGCTTCTAAATATTAAAAATCAATTTAATTTTGCATTTTTATTTGACATAAAAATTTTATTGTTTATGATATTTTATGTTGTGGATGATGTAATCAATGACGTCACCTTACTTTAAATGTAATTGGTTTTAATATCTATAAATTTAATCTAATGTTTTAAACATTATTTATGACTGTTAAACATTAAAATACAATTTAATTTTGCATTTTTTTTTAAAAATGATTTTATTATGTATGATTATTTAAATCTAGGCGTGATGTAATCAGCTCTCTGATTGGTTATGGAATATTTGTGCATTAACGAGCTGTAATCAGCTCCCTGATTGGTTACTGAAAATTTGTGCATTACCGCGCCATTTTAAAATTTAATTCATATCTTCGAATTTCTTCAAAAATCTCTCTTTCAGAGATGAATGCTGTTATTGGTGTAAGTACCAAGAATTATTGGTATCGGAATAAAAAAATTGTCCTTTGAGACCTTAATTTGGCCAGCTTGGCCATCCTAATCAAAGATTTATTTATAAATTGCTACAAGGTTCAGAGGAAATTCATTTTAAATTTTTGGATGAAACCTCGAAAATTGCTTCTTCATTGAAGGGCAAAAATGTAGATCACAGATGAAGATCGTTAGAAGAGCCTATTCTGAGGACGGCCGTATATGGTAGTGTAGTCATGTTGGAAGAAATAACCGCTGTAACGGTAAGAAAAGTATTAGACATTCCTCCTTTTTTACCGACATTAAACTAAATGCTGTCATTTTAGCTCTAGTGTACAAAGCGTTCTTATTTACTTATTTTAAACTATTTAAGTAATATTTTAATTATTTTGAAACTTTGGTATGATTGGCTTTTAATTCGATATTCAATTTACGTAATATTTTAATCCAAATTTAACGTTGGCGTAATGTTTTATAGTGGTATTTTTATTCTATTTCTGTGCTATATGAAAGAAATATTTTAACCTTTCTTTAGTATTTTATACTCGTAGTAAATGTATTTATTTACATTTGCGTGCCATCTTAAAGAACAACGTTCTCAACAAAAAATTAATCCATTATTAACGATATTTATTTTTTTTTAAGTTTCGAATACTTTACTATGCGCAAAATAACGTAAAAACGGCGTTTTTCAAGATGACTGACGATTGTAAAAACCGCGTCAACAATTGCGCCAACGTAAATCGCCAAAAATCCATGCAACCGTCAACCAAAGTAGCACCGAATTAAAATATTACTTAAATTAAATACTTTAAAATAAGTAAATAAGAACGCTTCCTACACTAGAGCTAAAATGACAGCAATTAGTTTATTGTCGGTAAAAAAGGAGGAATGTCTAATAATTTTCTTATACCGTTACAGCGGTTATTTCTTCCATGACCACAATACCATATACGGCCGTCCTCAGAATCGGCTCTTCTAACGATCTTCATCTGTGATCACATTTCGCACTTTAATGAAGAGCAATTTTCGAGGTTCATCCCAAAATTTAAAAATATTTCCTCTGACTCTTGTAGCAATTTATAAATGAATCTTTGATTAGGAAGGCCAGGTGGCCAAATTAAGGTTCAAAGGAAATTTTTTATTCCGATCCAATATTCTTGGTACTTACCAATAACAACATTCATCTTAAAAAAACAGACATTTTGAAGGAATTCGAATATATGAATTAAATTTAAAATGGCGGGTAATGCACATTTTCAGTAACCAATCAAAGATTACAGCTTGTTAATACACAAATATTCTATAACCAATCAGAGGGCTGATTACATCACGCCTAGAATTAAATTATTTAGTAATACAATAGAATCATTTTTAAAAAAATGCAAATTACTTGTATTTCAATATTAACAGACATAAAAATGTTTAAACATTAGATTAAATTATAGATCTTAAAACCACATTTAAAGTAAGGTGAAGTTTTTTGCTAATCATCCCAAAAATAAAATTTCATAACAATAAATTTTTTTCAAATGGTTAAATTGTTTTTTTTAATTAATTTAGAAGCCCTAAAGAATATTAAAACATTTTTGCATAATAAAACATATTTCAAAAATAAATGAGAACGCGTATCGGTTACCATAAATAACTTATCTAGCAATGTGCTTACTATAAGTCGTATTACCCGCCAAAAGAAAAATCTCCAAAAAATCGCTAACATTCCCTGCAACCGTCTACCAAAGTAGCACCACCCTGTCATTGTAATGGAAAGAAATGAACCATTTGATCCTTCGTCTTTCTGGAAAGTGATCTGATAAATTCCAGAACTTAGTTTCTCTTTGAGCTGATTTTAGTCATACCTAGAACACTTAATTTATGTTACACATTTTATATTACTATTTATGCGCGATTCCAAAACATTTTATTCCTCCATTTGCCTTATTTTTACTGTAGTTAGTAAAAATTTGCACTAATTAGATTTTTTTTTTTTTTTTTTTTTATATATATATACTTCTATAAACGCCATTTAATGTGTCAAATTTAAAGTGTGTTGATTATAGGATGACTTATACTTTTCATTGAATAGTATAATAATTCTGAATTATATTATACTGTTCACTGAATTTGAGGTATTAATTTTGAATCTTGCATTAATTACTGTTTCAATGGAACATTTGCTGCATATGAGTATGCTGCTAAAACATCCGAGATATTATAGACTACCAGCAAACAGACTTGCATAGAATGAGATTAATATTTCTTGCAGTACCTTATTTCAGTCCTATGTAATTGACTAGTCTTCCAGCTAGATGTGTTTGGTAAATTAAACATCAGTTTAAATTCTAATTTAAATATCTGCAAATATACTCAATATGCTTGGAATCTGCTCTCATTGAAATTTTGAATATAATTATGCATCTCACTTTACCCGTGCATTTGGAGTAGGCCTATGATAAATGAAGACTTTTCCATCATTGACACGGTTTCTGAAGGTAATCTCGGCTTGAAATGCAGTCTTTTGACCATCTCTTACGCTCTTCGGCAGGTCTTTATGAACGCCTAGCAGCAGGAACTTTATGTAGAGCTTCTTATCTTTCACCATCTAAAAAAGAAATTTGCATTCTTACCATAACTAAAAGTCAGTTTTGAAAGAAAGTCTTTACAAAGAATACTGGTTTCATCTAACTTGAGTCTTTTTTGGTAAGTACTTTTTCAAAATAACTCTTGCGCGTAAAGAAAAGGTAAACTACGTTTATAAAATTTCAGTTAAGAGAAATAACTCAAGTGTTTGCATTTAACAATCATACATGACTTATGAAATATGAAAATTTTATAAGAGTATCTGTACTTTATTAGTAAACTTTCAAACTTAACATAGTGATAAGTGGCAACTTTTTACCAGTTTCATTAAAAATGAATCAATATGCAGAATTATGATAAACAGATATCTAATGATACATTTTATAATTTTAAGTTTAGCTTTCTTCCAACACACTGCCGTTAATAAAAGCAATCCAAGCAAGTAAAAATTGTTAATGGTGATTTCTTATGTAGTATCATAACTGTTGCATGATTCGTGTCGTCCTGAATATGTTGACGGGATGAAAAACTGCATCCTTTATCACAATTCCAAACCAAAATACAATGCAATGAGGTAAGAAGCAAAATGTAGTTTCCAAATACTTTTAACTCTTTTAGAAATAGAAACAAATACACTTAATTCTGTTTTTATACGAAGATTTAACACGAATTCAAAATAAATATTTCATTCTTTTTTTTTTTTTTTTTTTTCTTTTTTTACCCATGTCATTTTGATTTAACACGAGCGAGCAAGGCAAATTATAAATTTTCTTCCCTAAAATTCTATGAAGTTCTTCTTATTCTTGACAATGAACCTGCCATTCTGTCTTAAACACCAAATGTACAAATTTATTACTGCTACTTAATAATTCCTGCTACCATTTTTGTTACAACCGCTTACAACTATTGCGAACTGCAAAGCATTCTAAGCAAAATGAACAATCCAATACATTTTAGGAAAAGTGAATGATAAAACACTAAACAGTCACTGAAGTTTGGAAGAGATTTTCAATCATGGATTATATTCAATGAAGTTGAATTAGCGTGAACTGAATTAAAATCAACAATTTTGAATGGGTGTTTGAAAGCAGTTTGGTCAAAATTTGTAAAAAGTAAAGATCCCATCACTGCGACCGAATTTCCCAACATCAAGACAATGGTATTTACAGCATTTGAAGAAGGATTCAATGATCTGTCATTTGAAGATACTGATGAATTCTTAGCCGACGAAGTCATAAGTGAAGTTGAAATATTAGAGTTTGTGCTAGGGACTATTAATCCCACAAAACGTACTGATAATGAAGAAAATTGTCTCGTTCTAAATAAAGGTTTAATGAAAGAAAGTCTGGAATTTGCCAGAAAATTGTATAATCATTTTGTCAAACATCATCTTAGACACGCGGTGAGAAGTTTCAACATGAATTGAAATTACTGACAACGTCTTAAAGAGAATCATATAACAGCCAAAGCAAAACATAACGTTTAATGCTGAACTCGTTCGTAAAACCGGTGAAACATCAACACGAGAGAAGATTCATGGTGGTTTTGCTCAAGAGATTACAAAAAGAATTCGTTAATAGAGAAGGGAGACGATGTCTTCAACATTTTTAGTGATAACAGTAATATCAAATCGTGCATAAACATATGCGCCTTTTATTGCCAAAAAGTGAAAATAAAATCTTGTTATGTGAGAAACCGATATTTTTTTTTCATTTCAAATGCAAGTTTACTTTAGTACATTTTTATTATAATTATTACATGAGTATTTTGCTGAAGATAATGTATAAGCTTAAAGAGAATGTTTCCAGACGGTTTGTTTTTTTAATACAATTTTTGCTGGTTTTTTAGATCTGGAAGCAATTTTCTTCTCGAGTAAAGATACAATGCCTTTTTTTGCACCTATTCATGAGGAATGTATCTGTCTTGTAAAAACAGAATTAGATGCATTAAAGATTCGGTTCCGAACACTTGGCATCAAACATTTATGACGTTAGAGTTCAGAAAACGTAATAAAATTATAAATTCGATCTCCAAGTTAAGAAGAAATGTGTCTCGTTTGAGATCTAAACTGTCTACTTTCGGGTTTCAGCACTTTGTACAATATGATTCAAAATTCCCAGCTGAAAATATAAAAGTAATTCCGACAAATAAAAAAAAATTAAAAAAAACCCTCGTTCGGTTAGAAAATGCCCTGGGAAATACCACCCGAGGGTGATAGAAGAGCAAGTGGACAGAGCGAACCATCATATTTTGTACAAGTATCGTATTTAATATAATAACCATTGTATTTAATGTAGAATCGAGAACCATCGTATTTAATATAATGTTGCTTTCTAAGGCATTATTATATTAAAGTGAAGATGGCTTGTATACACCTTGCCTAATGAAGTAGTGAATGCATCGTGAACAACACCTCACACAGTATCCAGCCATCAAATGTTTACGTGTTTGCATGAAAGATATGTGAAAACAGACGATTCAAAGAAAAGAAGCAGAAACTATGGTAAAAAATGAAGGTCAAACATGCCTGCATCTAAAAATGGTTTTACTCTAAATTGAATGAGATCGTAAAGTACACGAGATATTATTTCGCATGACATCAAGTTTTTCCGATTAAATGAGAAGAGAATATTATATGAGGAGAGCTTATTTTTCACTAGTATAGTTATTTTGTACCATTACAGAAGAACAACATATTATCTACGGCATATTTCAGTTTCATCGAATATAATATTCGCTATATAGAGTGATTCAAAATTCTTGGACTTAACTTGAAGTAGTGATACAGTACAAGTTAACAAAATATATTTCGTCATGCAATCCTTGGCCCATAACTCAAGATATGAAGCGATAGAGGATGCGCTTCAGTGAAGGCATACAAACTTAGCTTTTCGAGCTCTTCGTCAATTCTACTGTGGATTTTGGCTTGTACAACCTACGGTGAAATTCTGGTGTGTTATCCAGTTATAGCTGTAACTGGAGATTTTGTTATACAAAGATCTTTCTTAATGCCCAAACGACATCAAATATAGCCCTAAATGTTCTTTCGGTAATAATTGCCATCACCATTATGACAGAAATTGAAGCAGTAAGCACGGAGGTCAACTAAAACTAAGCGTCGAAGGGAGAAAGCAATGCTCATCCCAGATCAATTCGAAAAAAAACTTTTCCCCGTCATCATTCAGCATCACCTGCAAACAAAATACAATTAGACATACGGCCAAGCAGAATTTTTAAACAAAATACACAGATAGTTAAAAAAATCGTGGACCGATTGGGGGGCAGCGGATTTGATTGATGCATCTCCAGAAAATTCCATTACATGGCAGGGGCACCTTAACCACAACAGCGTTTTCCAAGCAGAATTAACCTCGATACAAGCAGCAATCTTGTCTGCATCCAAATTACATTTGAAGAACATAAATGTTTTCAACGACAATCAAGCAGCTCTCCTGGCTATCAAACTTCCAGCGGACTTCTTTTCAATAGTACAGTATATTAATAAAATCTTAACCCAATTTGAAATCAACTGCACGATATCTTGGATAAGAACTCACTCTGGCTGCCAAGAAAATTAGAAGGCGGATGAACTTGTCAAGCAAGCAGCTCAAATGTAAACAGGTTCATTCGTCAGAATTCATCAGGCCACGCTCTCACATAAATTTCAAATTGAAGAAAATAGCACTAGAGAGCTGGCAACAAGAATGGGACTCCGCACCAGAAAGGAGGGGAATACGCGATTTGCTTAAAAAATGCTAACAAACTCCAGTTCGTCCCTTATTCAGTTGGAACAGACCACGGCCCTTCCGCACATATTTGTTCGATAGAAATACTATTTTTCTCTTATCAACTACATTTGTGGGGAACGGGGAGATCCAGATCACTATGCCTTCCAATGTCCAATGTACAAGAAATTTCATGTAAACGGGATATTTAAAAGACATATATATTAACGGGATATTTAAAAGACATATCATTAAAACTCCAGTTTTAATGAACCAAATCAACAATACTGTGAACAAACTATCATGTGAAAGTAAGGACTTCTGCCAAAGAACATGAAACTGCTATTATTAACTATTATTAATAGCAGCGTTGAACTGTTACAATGATCCTTAAATGAAATATAGTTTTATTAGGACTGTAATTCATTTTATTTATTTTTAATTGCATTAGGACTGTATTATTTACATAAAATTATTTGTAGGAGGAGAGTATTTAGACCTATAACTAAGACTGTATTGTTTTAGAACTAAATTTTTTGAATCCATATACAATTAAGAATGAATTAGCTTGATCAATACATTTTGAAATTGTCCCAAGGCAGCAATGTAAATGTAATCTAGTCTTGAACAAAATAAATACTGAAGCTGTTCGTTCCTGTAATCCGCGCTGGACCTTGGAGGTAGCACATCCGCCAGCTATTGTCGATATGCACATGATTTTAGGCGTCCAAAGTGAGGATGCTCACAGCAACCATTGGGTGAATGTGGTCAAGCTCTTAGTAGATTTCATCTATGATGAATCCATCGTATTTCAGAAACGGCTGGAAATACGGATTCCCCGTTTCTTTTTACCTTTCAGATTTCGACAAGATATAGCAAATACGATATTGTTTAGCCGCTTGATTTACGACCATGCAGTGTGTGACGAAGTTGCTTAGGTATGTTCTAGCATCCTTAAACTTTGATCGAATAGCCTTAAACCACCTTTATGTACTTTTTTTTTTTTTTTTTTTTTTTTTAAATTTTGTATGTGTTGTCGAAAAGTTTCTTTTTAAAATTTTGATCTTGCCCGCAGCTTTCGAGCGGTAAAATTGTTGAAAACTAGTAGACATTGAATTCCCAGGAATAAACGCGAGTTTCCGTTCGTAGGTGCGTAGGAGCTTTAATATGTAGTATGGGTACTAGAAAACTTTCCTTTCAAATTCCTCCACGAAGTACTCTCTCATCTTGACTGTGCATCGCCATAATCCAAGGAAAAAAATCTTGATCATGTATGTGAAAATAAATTATGTTCATATATATTTGTAGCACACCTTATTTACCTTATCAAATGAGAACAGATGCAATTTATTAAAAAATAACATGAATCTGGTATAGAATACGCAGAACGTTTCTACGGAATTTTCCGTGAGCTGAAAAAGGTTTTCTCACACATAATATAAACTTGAAACAGTTTTTCTTGGGAAGTGCTTCACGACGAAAGTATAAACAGAATCCCTTCCTTTAAACAGATACATAGTTTTCGTATGCTTTGTCATAATTAAGTGCTTTTGTAAGAAACAAAAATACAATTAGCATTAATTTATATAAGATATATATTTTAACATTCCAGTTTTCAGATTTCTTTCGATTAGGGAAAACAGTTGCGAATATATGTCTTTTATAAAAGTGGAAGTAGTTTAAAACGCACTTATGTGAAACGAGGGAGACCTATAAGTAATACAGTTTTCTGAAAACTTTAGTAGCAAGAGATTTAATATGTCATTTGCATGTTAAAAATAAAATAACTTTTAATATATATATATTACCGCTGTAACTGAGGAGACTCTTAATGTTGAAGTTTTTATCTCGGAGAACTGATAAATTGCTTGTTTCCACTTTTGCAAGAACTTGATATCTGATGTAGCATTCTCCACATCCATTAAGTTGCCATCTGTGATTTTCCCTGTGAGGAAAATATATAAATAAATAGAACATAAGAAAAGAATCAAGTGAAGTGAACTCAATACGAAGAGTAATTTTGCTTCCATATTTATGTTTATCTTTATTTTAAGTGCATATTTTACATTTAGGTGTATTTTTATAGAATAATCAATGCTTCATAAATATTAAGGAAATATTCTTGAAAACTCGTCGTTAGAATCTTTATTATAAAAATACGTTTTCTTTTACTATAGCTTATGTCCAGTGTCTATAATTGAGTATATGTTGAAGTAGATATGCAATTAATTCATTTTAATTCATTAACAGAGGAATAAAATTTCAGCGTGACGTATTTTAAAGACATAAGTTTGTTCTCCTTAGTTTTTAATATTTCTTACAGCCGAAAACATCGCCTCAAAAACATCGCGGACGAAGACGTCGCGGGGAAAACAACGCAAAAGCACAAAACGTCGTGGTACAAAACATCGTGAGAGAAAACACCGCAAAGAGAAAATATCGCAATTCTAAAATATCGTGGTCGAAAATAAAGCGGTTCAAAAACTTCGCAGTTTAAAAATATCGTCGTCGAAAACAACGTGGTAAAAAATAAAGTAACTACGAAACATTGCATGACGATAACATCGCATACATGAGATTTTCAAATCGCATAGCGATATATTATGTAAATGACTTACAAATCATAACTAACAAATCGACATCCGAAAAATTGATTGTGCACCATATATGAAAATGTTAACGACACTTTAAGAACAAAAGGAAACAAAACAATATAAAATTTTCAGTAAAACAGTATCAGATTAGCAAATGTGACAGAAAATAATTTGATCATTAACTAAGCAATTTCTATAGAGGTAACCTCATGCAGTTATTTATCTTCCTTTTTCTAAACATTTTTAGACTGTATTTTTAATGAAACATTATCAGTTAAACTTTACAAAAAAAGCTTAATTTATTAATGACGTTTGTTAATTAACTATATAAATTTAAAATTCTATTAAGCTTTTTAAACTGCATTAATTTTCTACTCATTTTCGAATTTTAAATGTTTAAGTTTCCTTCATATTTTTTTCAGCAAAAATTTATTAGTTCGTTCAAATATATGATATATAGAAGTGAAAGAATCCCTCTTTCCTTCTTGCGTTCTATGATCTTTATACGAACATGCATTTACAACTTTTAAAACCTAAAAACGCATGTGAGCGATGCTATCGTCAGGCGATGATTTGTAGGTACTTTATTTTTTACCACGATATTTTTGACGATGATGTTTTTAAAATGCGAAGTTTTTGAGCCGCTTTATTTTTTACCACGATGTTTTCTCCTTGCGTTGTTTTCTCCGCGACGTTTTCGTTCGCGATGTTTTTGCTGCGAGGTTTTCGGCGGACACCTTAATATTCCACTGCTGTGGGAGTAAATACATCAGTTTTTTTTTATTAATCCCTCTATTTTATTATTGTTACTGTTGTTAAACTTGTATCATTTTTACCTTTATGCCGATCCGTTATATCCATAATTGAATTGCATGCCTCCGGGACGGTATTGTGGTTAGGGGAGTACCGAAGAGCCCGGGTTTGAATCCAGGGGAAAGTATAGATGTTTGTAAATGTATAGTGTCTTTGCAGCATGGGCGTAGTCTAAATATATTTCTAACCAGAAGTCCTCTCGTGTGGTTTGGTGGTGGGTGAGAGGGTTGAAATACCAGGGACCATATGCCGGAGTGCTCTCTCTCAAAATTGGAGTGGAAAGTAGAAATCCAACCTCCTTGAGGCTCTGGCAATCATTCGTCCGTGAAAATTACATGGTCAAGGCAACAACAACAACTGCATAAATTTCAAAAAAATATTTATATTGCTCTTAACTTGAGTTTGCTCTTATTTATATTGCTCTTTTTTGCACCTCTTTCTATCATTTTGCTGTTACTGATTTTTAAATCGTTCCTTATACATCTTGTTATGACTATTTAAATCTCACTTCAGTAACCTCCGGCTCAGCGATAGTTGTGTGAATGCAAGTTACCTGATAGCTTAAGAAAAGTATGTTTTGAATGTTTTAGTTATTCCTCTAAATCTAAATGATTATTTACGTGAAATCATTTTAGTGAAAATGTAGGAATAATTAAAAAAAAAAAATATTTTCATACAATGATTTACTGAATGTAGTCACATGGAATTATATCCGATAAATGGTTGCTTCTAGTTATAGACTATGCTATCAGTCACATCATTACTGTGCTTATTGTTACAGGTACATTTATCACTGTGCTTATTGTTACAGGTACATTTATCACTGTGCTTATTGTTACAGGTACTATTCCGTTAAAGCGGTGTCAGTTAAAAATGCCCGCTTCTTTTTTTTTTTTCCACCAGTTGTTGCCAAGTATAAAATGATAATAGAGTTTGAAAGACTAAAAAAATTAGCTCCGTAAAAAGTAAATTAAAAAAATTTGTTTAATTCCTAAAGAAAGTAAATTTTTCTTTTAAATTTTTTAATCTACAGTATTCTACGTAAATAAAAAATAATGAAACAAAACGAAATTCAATCTAAGCAGGTGGCATAAAATTACAAATATCATTCAATACTGCAGAAAAAATTTCAGTTTTTGAATATAATCGACGCCGCATAACTTCTATCAGATATCACTGTAAATGGTTGTGAGCAATGCCCAACTGACGTTTTATTTCTCCATTTAGCACTGCCATACAATCGCTCCATAGTTTGAGTATGGCATCCAGTTTCGGAGTCTTCAATATTATAACTGTGATTCACAGTGAAATGTTCTTAATTCCTCCAGCATTTCTTAATTCCTCTTTCTTACATCCTTTCCAGCAACCTGAAAGTATAATGCTGCCATGCGCGATGTTTTCCTGAATAGCAGTCATCAATGTTTTAGAACAAAGATCGGTAACGGCGACCAAAAAACATTTTTTCCTTCCCCGGCATAAACCCCTGAATACCCATTGTCCCGGAAGATCACGTCTAACACTTTTTTTCTTTTTGCGAAGAGACTTTAAAGTAGCTATTCCAATCTATTGTCGTATTATAGCTGATTTGATTTCTAGCTGAAGTTAGCAGAATTCAATCGACGTCAATTCAATCCCCCCTTTTTTTTTTCACTAGAAGAACGTAAACACGTCATATAGGAGCTTTGAGTTAAAAGTTAAGCTCATCGAATAATTTTGAGAACAAAGTCTATTGCTATGAATTATTTCTTTGTCCTGAAAGAATATTATGACAGCCTTTTCGTCATTAGGTAATTGCCAAATTGTGTAATACGTGGCTCTAAAAAAATGGTAAACTATGGCCCCAACATATTTTAAACGTTAAAATCTCGTGCCACTATATTTGGCGTGTTGATGTAGCATTGTTTTCTTCTCAATTTTCTTCATTTTTAACTGACGCCTCTCTAACGGAATAGTACCCAGTTACATCTATTATCAGTCACATGTATTATGAATAATTGGCAACTGGAAAAATACAATTTTTTTTTTTTAAATCGAGAATTTAAAAAATATTATTCACCTCATTGTCAAAATCTTCATGAATAATATTAATCAATATAGCTTAGTTGCAGTCATGAAAGTTAAAAATGCTCCAGAGATTATGCTATTTTATACCAGACGTTATTTTGTGCTCATTGATAAGTTTCGGGTGATAACGAATGTTTCGTTAAAACTGAACAAATGCCTGAACAGGAGACGTATTCATTGTGGCATAAACATGAAGTGCAATGATCTTGAGCGCTGAGCGTTTCGAAAGTACTCCGAAATTATGTTAATTACAGAAGCGTAAACTGGAAAAAGAATTAATTGATCGGATTATAATTCAAATCAGCCAAGGAAACAAATGATAAAACAGCGATGAAATAGTGCAATTTCTAATACACTGCTGGCCATTTAAACTGGTACGACCAGAAGAAAAGCAAATAGCAGATTCTTATTTATTGTACATATAAGGCCCACCAGTGGCCGAACGGTCTTTGTCTTTTGAATGGTTAAGAGGCAATTAGCAGCCTCTGCTGCTTTAACCACCGCTTTTGAAAAAAAAAAAAATGCCCTTAGGCTTTGGTATATATAATTGAAAAATGGGCGTGTAACGCCGCGCCTACTAGGCGAAGCTGAAGCAAATACAAAGGTCATGAAATGAAAAAGCATCTGGGAGCTGTTCGAGCTGTGACAAAAGATATAACTAACTGAAAAGTTTGCTTAATAAAGCATTTGAAAAAATAAACATTAAGTAATTTAAATTAAGTATGTTTTTGAAACAGGTTCAGAATGAAATGGATCGTAATTATACTGGTGGGAGTGGCCCAAATGACGAATAAGTCAACAGTAATATATTTCTGGTGAATTTCAAGAGTTCTCGTATGAGAAATGTTAAAGTCATATAAATTAACAGTATTCACAAATAGTTCACACTGTACGAAGTTCTGGAATAAAACACACTTTTTTAGAAACACTTGTAATTTTAAAAGGCACAATATTTCAGCATAAGTCACAGTTTAGAAGGCGGGATGGTGAAACACACATAATTAATTCAGTTTGTGTGTCCTGAAAGAGTTTATAAGTCCAAAATTCAGTAGTTCTAACAAAGTCTCTTTATAGGAACACTAATAAAATATAAAATTCTTGAAATAATGAAAATAATGATATAAAGTGGTAATCCACTGAGCTTTTTAAAAACCGCTGAATATTTGTTGTTCGGTCCGAGGTTCGAGTTCCGGCGAATAGGCTGGCTGCATGGGTGTTTTCGTGGTTTCTCCCATGTGTAACTTGGATACGAGCCAGATTCCTTTAAAAAGTCCTATACGGTATACCTTCCTTTTCGTGTAATGCCAAAAGATGGAGTACGTAATACGTAGTGTATTCGGAAACTAAGTACCGTTTCATTCTAGCGCCGTCGCAGCGCTGTGGTAGGCGTCCCGCGCATGCGCACTAGTCTTTCTTGTTCACTCACTTTCAATTGTCGCCATTTTGGTTGCTCTATGTTGTGTTTTCAGTTTGC